GTGATCAGCTTCCAAGCTGCAGTGCCCACTCTGAGAGCGGCGCCTGGGAGCTCTGTGTAGGAGAAGGAGGAGGATAATGATTCAGGCGAAGAAGATGAAGATAAGGATGACAGACTTCGTGATGGTGGTGGCAATGATGATGACCCTGGCGACGGCGACGATGTCTGGTTTGCAACTCATGGCCGCGTTGAGGGGGTGTATAGCCTGGGCATTCTGTTACTTGTCAGGGCTGCCAGGGTCCTGCAACATTGAGATCAGGCTGCTCCTGACTTTGTTGCTGGGCTTTCCGTTTGTGGCTTTCCGAATCGAGTTCAGTTGCATCTGGTGGCATAGACTCTCAGGCTCCTCGTAAACGAGCCTTGCATCTGAGCCGTCTGCACCCGGGAGGAAGAGTGACACGGCCCAGGATCCAAAGGAGCCCTGCTGTGCATTGGGTAGGACTCCTTCAATCTTGAAAGGAGTTAGCTCAGGTAGATTCGACATGCCTCTTGCTCTTGCTCGACGGCGTTTCAATGGGTTGGGCTTCGTGGCCCTGCAAGTTGAGCCAACTCAGGGATGTATCGGAATCACCACAGTATCGTAAAGTACATCTCGCCACCCGGCCATAGTGCAAGAGTCTTTATCCCAAGATCTGACTCTTGCGAATGCGAAGCACAAGCCGCAAGCAAGATCCTGCTTTCGAAGGAGGAGAAACTCTTGGCAGAGCACGAGCAAATGGACAAGCGCGGCTCGGGAGGATCTCTTGCCAGCTTGCGCGCAGCCGTCTATCTACGACGTCGAACTGTGTTTGTACTCACCTTGTGACAGTTTATGTGTACCGGCCAATTTGGTTTATAGTTGCGGGTCGACATAATGTGCAGGGTCGAGTAAAAGCACCTAGTGTGTGACGGTGTGATGTGCAATGCACACTTGCCCTTTTGGTGCTACAGGTGTCATCGCACAGCACCTAGTGATGCCGCGAGCAAGGGACGGGGATCGTTGTTAGTCTGGAGGATTGAGTGGCTATGCTGCTGCGCTGGACTGTTATTCCCACATGGCTCGCACGGTAATGCAGATTGCTATGGCTATTCTGTTGACCTTAGGCCAGGAGCCTATTGAATCCAAGGTTTGCGCAAGCAGATGGAGGAAATCCGATCGCAAGAAGAAGTACTCCGCAAGCTTCAGAAGCAGGCACGCTTTGCCCGAATGGGACCGAACTGCCGAACCCATCCAGACTGCTTTGCTGAGCTACAATACCCAAAACACTGCCCAATCCAAACCGAGGAGTGCGTAGGCCTCAGGCTTCAGCTGTAGCCGGTTTAACAGGTGAACTTGACATATGATGTCGTAGCTGGCCTCAGAGCACTGGCTTAGAACTTGCAGAACCGGATCCCTGACATATTCGCGTGCTGGTTGTCTCCATGAAGCCGTTGCCACATGACTCATTTCAATGATACTACTTCTGGTAATCATTAGCATGGGAATGCTAACCACACGAGTAGAAGAACAAGAACTGCAAGCACTTCGAATCCGGTTGAAACCCTTGCCGTGTGAGGCACAGCAGTTCCAAGCGCCGTCAGGACGCGATTTGCGATGCTCAGATGCACTCAACATTGAGGTACATCACGAAATGCGAGGTTGGTCGCAGCGAGAGAAACCAAAAACAGCACGGGAAAGGACAGAGAAGAGCGCAGTAGTAAAGCGGCAGATGGCAGTGGAGCTATACGAGAAGAGAGTTGTGGAAGGCGTGAGAATTCAAACCACGAGTAAGATGTAAGCAGACGGTCGAGCAATGATGCGCAGCTCAGACCGCACTGAATCTCGAGCAGCCATCACCTTTAGCTTGCTATGACGTGGCTTGATCCGATGAGATTGGGGAGGTTGTGCAAGGTGGGGTCTCGGAATCAATGGCTCCTCGACAATGTGGCTGGTTGGATAATTCTTTTGCTCCCTCAAGATTGATTAAGGGCATGCCGACAAAGGGCTCTCAGCATCATAGGCTTATAGCCACTTGCTGTCAGGATAGCAAGCTGCGCTGCGCTTCACTCGATGAGAAGAACGCGTTTGCTGCACAGTGTCACTTCCTAGCTTCACATGCTGAAGATCCCAAACGACTCTTAAACTTCAGACACGACTTCAGTCAGGTCTTGTTCTGGAACAAGCTGCCCATGGATGTGGCTTTTCCTGTCTTCGGCACAGGTTCTGTAAAGACTAGCGTTTCACCACCTGCGGAGCAGAGCTTCCAGACATGCATGAGACTACATGAATCCCAAATGAAATATGATTTCAATCGGATTTTACAATACTTCAAATTCATGGACACATCCTTCTGTATAGATAGAAGAACAATACAGCTATACCGAATTATATAATTCAATATTCAACATTATTTATAGATCCTTGCTATATATAAAGTAATTCAATACGTCATCCAAACAAATTCATTTTATGAAATATTATAGAAAGAGAAATAGAAGCAGAAAACAAATAATCATATTTAGATAATGATTAACTTATATTCATAAGAACAAATTTAGAGCTTTTGAGATCATGAAATTCGTTATTCTAATAGTACTGAAATCTAATCTTATTATGTAGAAAGCGAAGTATTAAGAATTATAATATGAAATAGAATTAACTATATTATCAGTTTATTCAAAAAATAGAGTAAAAGATTCAAAATAGAGAAAATATCTATATACTGAATTTAAATTCATTAATGGACCGGATAATTTTATATGAATATATCTATGATTAGGAATGAATGAATGGATGAGCTTTCTGGAGTCTTCTAGAGGAGTGCGTGCGGTGTGGTGTGTGTAGTGCGCATGTTGTGTATTGTATGGGTGGTGTATGTTGTAGGTTGTGCGTATTTGGTGCGATAGGGGATTGGATTTTGCGGATCGCGTATTTTGCGTACGCTAAGGATATGATATATTCTTCAATTATATTAGAAAGTTGTCATTACCATCCGTATTAAATATCGATTTTCTCCGATACGAAAGATATTTCAAATAGAGGATCTATCGTAAAATCTAATATAGATGGCAAATTATTTAGTCGCTCATATTAAGACCCTTAGCCAAGAATAGTAAAAATATTAATAGCTCTATCAATTCACGAATAATAGTAGGTCTAGTAATAATAGAAGCACCTAATAATGGCATCAATAATATTCAGATATAGAAAGAGAGGGGGAAAGGAGAGGAGGAGAGAAATCTAGGGGGCAACTCTTATATCGTAATCCTGGCGAAAGAAAGAAAAAGGAGAAGGAGAGAATAGCTAGAAGATAGAATATCATGAATAGAGAGAGAGAGGGAAGAGAGAATGGAATGGAGAGGATAGCTTGAATAGAGAGAAAAGAGAAGGATATTAAATCTTTGATTTCTATATTTCTCTTATTTTAATAAGAATATTAATAAGAATAATAATTCAATTTTCATCTTTAATTTCTATTTGGCAAAGCTACGTTATTTATTTGGTTTATATATATGCATATTTGAAATAAAATCGGGGGGATCAATAGAGATATAAATAAAATTAATAGGGATATTTATTGATAAGAATTATATATTCATCTATCTATCTTCTCGAAATTGAAATAATATCGATTAGAAATCTATCGTAATGCGAATCGTGAGATTCTAATTTTAAAATCAAATTTCGAAAGATAATATTTTCGGATATAGTAATTCTCCAAAATATTCTCTATTTTTTCAATATTGAAAGAAATCGGAATCTAATACTATTTCTAAATATGATATCTATTAAGTCTTAATAAATGATTATTTATGATAATGATTCTATAATATAGGATTCTTTAGATCTGAGGTTGAATATTTCCTGATAATATTTCTTCATTTTATGCTCCTAAATTCTACGACTCTATAGTTTATAGAATAATCAATATCAAGATTTAAAATAATATTGGAGGTGCTGTAGTATTGCCGGCGAGCCTGCAATACTTATCTATAAAAATGGGTAATATAAGAAAGGTTGTGACCTTGATCTGCGAGCCCTTCAATTATCTCAATAAGGAAGCTATAATAGTAGGATGAATCAGCGATGATATGATAATATTGAGAAAATTATGATTTGATATATGATTTCTCATATGATCTATATCTTTATTTATTTCTCTCTCCTTTAAGTGCTGCCCCCTAAATATCAGATAAAGATCCAATACTGTCCCTACGAGCGAGGCAGCTCCCCATATATCTAATTTTTTCGATTTTATAATATACGATAAGATAACTCAAAATAAAGCAATATTGCGGGAGTGCGACTTTACCTATGCATAGAAACGAGCAATAGGATCACGATTTTGATCTACGAATTCCCATATTGATCCAGCAAGGCAGCTTCAATAGGGGGGGGACTATGATATTGCCTGCGAATTCCCATTCCGAATCAATAATAATGAAATAATATTGGGAGGATTCTATCTTTGCCAGCGAGTTCTTAGATCGATCATCTATTTATCTAATTCTTCTTCCCCTAAAGTTCATTCCCGAAATGCCAAATAAAGATCGAGTATTATTCTTCAAAGGGGGAATCTGAGCGTGCGTGTACCAGCCTGAAATCACGGGATTTCAAGAGTATCAAGAAGCAGGGGTCCAGCGGAGAAGTCGATAAAATAGATGCATCTGATGATCAACGAAGAACGCGTTAATATCTATCTATCTTCTCGTGAAAATATTCCTATAGTAAGATAAGATGGTAGGCTACGATGATTATAGTAGTATATATGATCTAATCTCTATTGAATTTCGGACAATCGAGGGTCAGTTATATATTAGGAATTGCGTATTATATATTATATGCGTCATCTAGACTATCTATCGTATTTAAATACTATATATATATCTTAATAAATTTTGAATATGCTGAATATTATGCGCAAAATCTAGCATTTAAACGATACAAAAAAAAAAATATATTTATCTATTTATATTATATTATTTAAATTATCTGTTATCCGTTCAGCAAGCAATTCGCATGATATGGTATTCGATGATGGGGTATCCAGCGGATGAATCCCTCATCATGCAGCAACAAGACCTCGTCGGCCCCTCCAATTCAATTCCACATGATCGTATCTTATATTCTTTGCTTTTCATTTTGCAGATTCTCGAAAGTCGTTAGCTTAAACCTAAGATATTATATTATTTGAATTATTTAGAGATTTCAATTATCTAGATTTCTTATCTAATATTATTTATATATACTATTTATACGTGAATATAAAAATAGAAATATCGTATAATATCATTTAGATATTTCGGAAATAATATATCGTATTCTATTTATAGATATTTCTAAATTTAGAAATTCATGATCCCTATATATCAAATATTTCTAAAAGATAATTACTTTAAAGTGTATCGTATATCGTAGAATCTTTTCGAATTAATATTCATTAGCGTTAATCGTCTTCTAGAAGAGAATTTAAACCCCGCATCATATATTATAGAATTATTAGAATAAATATCTTATTAAAAAGATTACGTATTAGGAGATATATCTATATATTTCAAAATTATGAAGATATTCAAATCAGACCTAATATTTAATGATATCTAGAAGGGGAATATTTATACGCGCCATATATGGTTTCTAATTGAGAAATATCATTCAATATTACCCTATAAATTTATTATTTAATGATATTTAAATTTTTCCAATCCAGGGAATCCCAGAAAAGGATATATCCCGCAGATTCCTCTAGGATCGATATTTAAAAATATTTAAAATCTTCCAGAAGAGAGGTGGAAAACGTGTGCCCCGTAGCTCGCAGAGACTTCTAGAATGAACGTAACGGCGGGGAGGGGGGGGCAAAATACGCCTTATCCACCAGAAATCTCTAAAATCAAGATTTAATAAGATTGCAATGATCCAGCTCATAGGAACCATTGGACGAACCCGCAGTATGAAGACCATCGACAATCCTGCATGTTCCACGCCTGTGCCTCCAAGGTCGGGGATTCTTGGGTTCTCGCGGTCTCTGAATGCGGTGATTTGCTGGACTCATCAACCCTTGGTACCTTTCTTCTTGCAAACTGGCTAGTCATGCTGTCGCGATGTCAGGTCGGAGGTCCCAGAAGAAAGTTCGAGCCTGAAGCCCTAACAGCCCTCACACCACCTAACACCTAAGGCCCAAACAAAAGAGCTTCCTGAAGCCGGGCTTGCCTTCACCCCTGACGGCCCTAAACCCAGAGCAGAACCTCCGTTGACTTTCCGCGAGCCGCCTGTCGGCTCTGCCGACGCTTGAGCTCGGGACATGTCTGTGCGAGCACTGGGGTCTGCATCTGAAGCGTCATTCTTTTCGTTTTGGGCTTCGGGGTTTTGGGCTCAGGGCGGAGCATCCTAGGGTCCCAGCACTGGTCCCAGTACCGAAGTCTGGCGCCCCCTTCTTGCAGAAGGCCAAGATCATTTATGTACTCATGTTGCTTTAAGTTTGTTTGCAATGTATCTTAAACTGTTCAAAGCTCTCTCTGGCTTGTGAGTAGCGATTGGAAATCGTTTCCAAAGCTGGTCTTGCGATTCTTGTAGTGTTGAGCGTATCATCAAATGCCGGTCCTTTCAAGACTCTAGCTCATATGTGCAAGTGTTCTCCCGCGGGCGGAACTGAATTGAACCCTGACGCAAGTCCGTCACCTAGTCTATGTGGGCGCCGAGGCAGTGTGACTTACCGACCAATCGTTCAAGCACTTGCATAATGAATTGCATGGAAGCTGTCGTACATGGAACATGATAGTGCATCCCCCTGATACCAGTCGCTTGGAAGCCGCCACTGAGGCGTCCCAAAGATTCCCAGGTTTTCCGGGGGAGGAGGGGTGGGGGAAACAGCATGGACACGACATGCTTGCACACCTTGGCTGCTTCCGTGATCGAGCTCACTGTGAAAACCCACCAAGCAGCAGTCAGAATCTGCAGTGGATGGAGCTTAAAATTGGCGGGCACGGCGGGATCTCGGAAGGCCGCAAAAAGGCCCTCATCCTTGGTGCCGGGAGGTGTATTGCTAGACTCAGCCTACAACAGCTTCACTTCATCACATGCTTGAGCACGCCGGCAACAAAATAAAGCATCCGCCACCGAAGTGAACATCAGAAACTTGTAGCTGCCACTGCCGCGGTGCTTGTGAGTGTGGGTGTGAGTAGCGTTGCAGTTGCGTTTGCACTTGCAGGTTGCCTGGCTCCTGTGGGTGGATGTGCTGCTGCTTCTGTTGCTGCCGTCTTTACAAGATGAGCTCGCTGCCCTCGGCCGCATCCACTCCTGCAAGGCCATCGTCATCTCCTGAAGCTGACGGAGCTTCGTGGGACCGATTCTATAATGATTTTGGTCCTCTGTACACCTTCTTTCCCCGGAAAGCAGTCTCTGGATGTGAACAAAGAGAGACATGAGGCAAAGAGGCATCAGAGGCGAATCCGAACAGCCTCATGCAAGGAGGAGCCGGATGAGGAATTTCATCTACAGCCTGCATTGCCACATCTGCCGAGGCAATGCATATAGAAACGCCTGATCAGCAACATGAGCAGGACAAGCCATGGGTTCGCCACCGAAAGTTTATGCGTCAATTCAGCGCTATCGTCCGCCTTGCAAGCGTGGCTGTGACGAATCTCATGTCTACTGCTACTGCGACAATTCCTCCCCCGGCTCCTGTTGCTGATGAAGGCATGCCTCCTAATCCAAGTCAAGCCCAAGTCCTCGTCCTTGTCCTTCTCCTCCATTTCCTAATCCTCCTCCTCCCTCCTCCTACTCTTACTCCAACTCCTACTGCGACTGCTGCTGCTGCCGCTGCTACTAGCCACCACTACCCACCTACTCACTTCTCCTCTTGCCATTGCCACTGGTGTTGTCTCTGCCACTGCTACTGCTTCTGCTGCAACTCTCGACATCTCGGCAACTTGCAACCCCCCGAATGTGGGAGCGTCCTTCGGATCCTTCACCATCGTCACCGTCCTCTCCCTGCGCACCTGCAACAAGCTTCAACACCCTGCACAACGTTTCGGCTAGTCATATAGGCGCTTTAGGGGACTCTCGGACCTTCCCAAAAGCCAGAAGTGTCGAACCCTGAAACCCAAGTGCTGAATGGCTTAAACAGCCACACAGCCAACAAGTTTGCTTCGTCGCCTTCTGGGCCTCGCCGGATGCGAGGCACTCGGATGCGCTTCGTTGGCGCCGGGAAGGGGACCTGTGAGTTAGGGTTCAGGGTTTAGGTGATTCTCTCTTTCCAACGTCAACATGACACGAGTATATGATTCAAACATCCTGAACCCGATATCGCGATCATCAGTGCCACCCATCCCCAACAACTTCGTCAGCATTACTGCTGCTACTACTACTACTACTACTACTACCACTACTACCACTACCACTACCACTACCACTACCACTGCCACTCCCACTACCACTACTACCACTACTACCACTACTACCACTACTACCACTACTACCACTGCTACCACTACTACCACTACTACTACTACTACTACTACTACTACTACTACTACTACTACTACCACAACCACTACTGCTACTACTGCTACTACTGCTACTACTGCTACCACTACTGATGCTACTGATGCTACTGATGCTACTACTGCTACTGCTACTACTGCTACTGCTGCTACTGCTGCTACTGCTGCTACTACTGCGGTACTACTGCTGTACAGCTGCTATACTACTGCTGTACTACTGCTATACTACTGCTGTACTACTGCTGTACTACTGCTATACTACTGCTGCACTACTGCTGTACTACTGCTGTGCTACTGCTGTACTGCTGGTGTGCTACTGCTGCTACTGCTGCTACTGCTGCTGCTGCTCCTGCTCCTGCCACTGCTGCTACTACTACATCATAACATAACTTCGTAACCATCACGATCGCAAGCACTGCCATCCTCATTACTGATCATTCGTGTAAACTATAAGTGAACGGTATCTCGTGGAACAGCAAGGATAAAAGATGTGGAACAGCAAGAGCAGTAGCAGCAGCAGTAGCAAAGCAGCAGCAGTTGTAGTTACAGCGCAGAAGTCGGAGTGGGGCGGAGCAGCAGCAAAGTCGTAGTCACAGTAGTCGCCGTCGCAGTAGTAGCAAAAAACAGTTGTGGACATCGGCTCAGTCGTAAGCAGAGGAACAAGCGGCAAGGTATTTGTGGCCTCTACCTCTGACCTCTACTAAGACCGATTCCGCGTTTTTGATATTGCTATCATTGTTGCCGATGCTACTTCCATCCAGAGCAAGTATCGGGTCGGGGGACATCCAGAAACAGAATTCCATGATGCTCCACTGCCACAGGGGTATCGAGGTCCCGACTCGTCTGCCCTGAGAATACCTTGGGTGCAAATCGTCAGAGTTGTTTCTGCAGGGCCTTCTGGCTCAAGCAGTCTCTGACTCCGATCCCCAAACGAGACCAACAGCAAGGCTCAGCAGGACTCTTTCGAGATAAGCATCTCAGCAGGCAGACAAGTTTTGACTGGTGCGAAGGGTCCGATTCGGCCTGCTTGCAGACAAAGGACACAGCTGGCTTGTACTCGTCTGGCACGGACTCGTGCATGACAGGACCTTAGAGGCTCTCGGTTAGGGGTTTATGGCTTTAGGGTTTACGGAGTTTAGGGTTTAGCGATTTAGCGATTGAGACTGAGCATCCGTGGAGACTACGGCTCACTCTGCTTGCCAGACAGAGCTATCATTCCTTGCCAGGGACTACATCACTTCACGCAGCGTCCCCGAAGCCCCAAGACGAAATTTCATCACATCCTTGCAGCTGCACTGCTACTCCGATAGCGATTCACATGGGCCATCAAGCCCTGGCGTTGCTGGGTCGCAAGAGCCACGCAGACTTACGAGTTGTGCTGAGAACATTAAAAACATGTACTTCAACATGCCTATGCACTCATGGAGAAGGACTAGTACAATTAGACAGACGCCGTGCTGGTAGCAGTAGTGGCGGTGGTGGTGGTGGTGGTGGTGGTGGCGGTGGTGGTGGTGGTGGTGGGTGGTGGCGGTGGTGGTGGGGGTGGTGGTGTTGGGGGTGGTGGTGGTGGTGGTGGGGAAAGTGGTGATGGTGGTGTTCGTGGTAGTGGTGGGGGTGGCGGCGGCGGCGGTGGCGGTGGCGGTGGTGGTAGCGGTAGCTTTGGTGGTACTACTGCTGGTGGTGGTGGTATGGTAGTTGTAGTCATGCTAGTAGTGGTTGTGGTGTCAGTAGTGGTAGTAGTGCTGGTAATGCCAGTAGAGCTAGCAGTGCTAGTGGGCTGAGGCTGAGTAGTCGAAGTCACTAGGAACAGCAGTAATACCACTTCCCGAGCAGCAGCCCATCGAGCCTGGTGCATATCGCTCCAAGAAACTTCACAAATCTTGTCTGTCTCCACGCCCCAGTTCGTGAATCCTGGCTCTGTGAAATGTTGGCACGAACATCGAAGCTTGATGCCAGCCGCTGTAGCAAGCTCCAGCAGCTGATGGGCAGGAAGATGTGCAGGCCCACGGGGCCCACAGAAACAAACAGCTAGCTAGCTGCAACCTCCGCCAAGAACTTTATATGACAAGCAGGACTTCGGCAAGTTCACCGGCGGCATCCAAAGGCGTCTGCAATCCCTCTTGCGCTCTGCAGCAACACGGACGCGTGGTCCGAGAAAGCATGATGCTGCGGCGACTGCAACCGCAGAGCATCTTCGCGCTACGGTGCACGTTACTCCAGCTATGATTGCTTACATTGGTACTTGTAGTGAGTAGTGATACGAAAGTACCAGCCATTCTCATCCTCATACTCGCAACAACCCGAACCTAAAGCCCTGGCGACTGAAGCCCAGGCCTTCAAAGGCATCTCGAGCTCGGAGGGCTTGGGCTTCATCCACAAAGTTGACAAAAGCGTAGCCAAACATGGCCTGCAAGAGGGCACCTACTACTGACTCGTGAAGGATGCAGTACCGGCGCATCCAGGCCGGCTCTGTGATGACTCCCTTCGAACACGGTTTGTGCTGAAAGGGTGAGGTACTCCTTGAGTGGCCCGAGAAGGGACCCTCTTTGTAAGAAAGCCTCATGCGTTCATGTCTTGTCATCAACTCAAAGTCAAGCCACCTGAGATCGAAAATTGATTGGAATGTAGACGAAGTCGAAACCTCGATTGCCGGAGCACTGTGCTGCGAGGGATCTCCTCTCTTTGGCCTCGAGAAAGCTCCGGGGCTGCTGCAAGCGTGGAAACCATTTCGATTCATCAACTCCACAAGCATGTCTCGACTGTACCTGTTCCAGGGCCACTTCCACCGTCGAGTGTAAGCTCGAGGGGCAGCAAAAGGGCTCTCGGGGCACCCCTGCGGCAGGTTCCGCAGCATGACAGTGGTTTGGCGCTCCCTCTGCCTGGGAGGGGCCATAGCCATAGCTTTTGTGGCTGCCATCTAGGGCCTTCACTGCCGGACTCCGCGTTTGGATTGGGATCCGGGCCCCCTCTTGTAAACTGGCTTCTTGTTGTTGTCCTGGGCCGTAGCGAAAATCACGACAACAGTCAAACAACGCTGACAACTGTCACGACAACACTGTTGACTATGCAGCCACTCGGCACCTGACCCTGACCCCAAGCCCTTGAGGCCCGAAACTCCAATGCCTCTGACTGCAATCCCCGACAAAAACCCATGACACTCCGATGACCCTCCTGACCACGTGAGCGATCCGGCCGCATCCTGCGGGGAGTCGGAAGCAGGAGGCAGATGAGGCAAACGCGAGCTAACTACGTGCTCGCTAGAGTTGCTGCGTAAGGTTTCGGACAGGGGGGATGTTGGGATTTTCGACGCACGTGGAGTGGGTGTGCATGAACATTGATGCCGACAGAACTGCAGGGATTGAGACAGCGCGATAGCCCACCGCTGCGGCAGGGAGCAAGGCCAGGAAAGTATCACACATACCGATATACCGAGGTGTTATCGTGAAACTGGATGGAATGTAGCACGACTACTCCAAGCTGGGGTGGTGATAAGAACTCAGCAGAGAATGTGATGTCCGTACCAGTATATTCAAAGCTATGATGGTCAGCGATTCAATGACTTGCATACTTTTACTCTTTGTCACTGTTTGCGTTCAGTCATCACAAGCACCAACCCACTCGTAAACCCAAGATGGTGGCCACGCATCTCCCGAAACTCGCATATCCATGAAAATGACTCAATGACTTGTTCTTGAACTCCGCAGAAACCGTATGAGTGACAGCCATGTGGGCACCAGTGGATAATTTGTGGGAACATACTACAACGAAAAGAAGATGCAGATGGATACCAGTAACAGTTGTCATACAAAACAGATACTACGGGAGTAGTGGGTGCGTAGACATACCTCCTCTAGCCAATGACTCAGAACTAATCCAGGACATGGACTTTCGCCTGAAGGAGTAGCAAACTCTGCACCCTAAACCCCGAGACGGCAACACTCCCTTTAGCAGCTGGGTGCCCGCACCTGGCTGCATTATGAGCCTGCGCCCCTCCATGGAAAGACTGCTGCAGCAGGTGCTGCTGATGCTGTTGCTGCTGCTGTTGACGGAGCTGCTGCTGCATCCTCGGAGGAGGCAACAGCAGTCTGCATCAGAACATTGGGCCAAGGACTTGGGGTGGGGTTAGGAGTGATTCATTTCGCTTCTCATGTTGCTGGAGGATCCGTCAGTTGCTATGGCAAGCGGCTGGCAAGAAAGAAGGTCCTGTTCCAGTCGATGCTACCCATTGCCGGGATCTGAAGATTGGCATGAAAACTGTATGGAAAAGGGCATACGAACAGTTGCACAGCGATGAACATAAAGGTCAATATTAACATGTAGGTGGGTGCACACGACATGTGCCGGTGCATGCGAGTGGCTGGACCGCTATGGAGCAGAGCAAGCGCGAGAGAAAGAGAGACAAAGTGCAAAAGTGCGCGAGGGAGAGACGCGGGCAGAGAGCCAGACAGACGGACGGACAGACATGCAGACAAATGGAGCAGCAGACAGAAAGACCTTACGTAGACACAGGGGAAGAGAACGAGAGAGAGAGACAGAGAGAGAATGAAACAGCACAAAGCTCCCGGCTGGAGTTGCTGCTGTTGGAGCTGTACCAAACGCATCTGCCTCTGTCACGATCAGGTTTGACTTGTCGGGCACTCGTGGCTTGCTGCATTCGGCGCTATTGCTTCTCTAAACTCAGGCTCATCTCGTGGCCAGTACGGCAGCTCAAGACACTGGCGCCGAGAACGGTTAGGAAGGGTCAGGATCTGCATACATCCTTCTTTCCCATCATCCATGCCGCTTCGAAACCGCAGGAAAGACCCTGATGACTGCATCCATCCTAAGGTCAGAATCGTGAGGGCTCGACTCCAGCTGTTGGCGCTGCAGCATGTTCTGGGCGCAAGCTTCGATTGTTGGGATGGGGCCCGCTGTATATCAACAAAATTTGTTGTAGAGTTGTAGAACACTCTCATCAAGCTTTCATGCCCGACAAATCTGAATAGCATACTGTAGCCCTCTCAATATATCCAGCGCTCCGATCTCCCCTGCAATCCTCTGCACCGTAGCGGCTGACCAAGAACCCTTGAAGCCCATGCTTTCCTCGGCCAGGAGGGATTCCAGTTCCTGCACCCCCGCGCCGGCAGCTGCGGCAGCTGCTGCGGTATTGGGCCTCGAGAGAAGGGCAGGATTGAAGCCCATTGATGCTACCAGACATAAGCAGTGCCAAAGCAGCCACAATGCAAACGCCTACAACAGCTGCGCCACGGGTAATTTTCAACAACGTCAAAGTCAACTACGGCAACAGCATGCAACAGCTGGGCGGCTTCATTTTGCCACGAAGGAATACTGTCCTCGTGCACACCTTACGAGATGGCCATTTGCATATATTGTGGTCACAAATGTCTGTGTGCACGAGCTGATAATACGAATGCAAGCTCACGCCACATGCTCAAGCCTTGTTTCTTTCCTGGCACAGGGCACGCACATGTGTGGTCAGTGCATACTTCAGAGTATTCGTACAGAAGTCAACGACCGCAACATTTGCATCCTCAGATAAGGATGCATAATGACCCCTGAGTAAATCCTGAACCTTCGGCGAAAGCGAGAAGAACAACGACAACGACAACACGAAACTAATATACACACAGGCAAAGGAGCCCTTCTGAGGAGCCAACAGGCCGGCAAGAGGGTTACCCCCAACCCCGCAGGGTGAGGAGAGGAAGCCGGGGCCAGGTCTCTCGAACCTCAGAGCTCAGGGCTCCCTTGGCTTTCACTGAGGCAGTCACTACCCACTACAACGACCAGATGCACGACCAGCAATATCTTTGTCGGCGTCACTACCCTCACCATCACAACCGTCAGCAGCAGCGGCAGCAGCGGCAGCAGCAATCCTATCTTGCCAACCGACAGCATCGTCACCATCACCTTTGTTGATGCCACTGTCAGCTTGCTTGCCATAGATCATCATCATCGTCATCTTCAAAGTCATCATCGCAACAATCACCAAACACACCAGAAGAGGAAGAAGACATAGAAGAACACCTGCAGCGCGACGAGGAGGACGACGACGGCAATGACAGCGTCGATATCATGACCATGAGTTGCTCCTCTCGACTCGACATAAGTAGCCACAGCTTACGTTTCTGAAGCTTGTCCAACTGTTACTTATCAGTTATCAGCATTCTTCTGCCTATCTCGGCTGGTTGCTTTCGCTGCCAAGAGGTTCTTGCTCCGGTGCTTGCTGAAACCGCTAGCAGCTCGAAGATGCTAATGGTCTTCTTCGTCGTCCTCAGCTTCATCGTCATCACGATTGCTGGTGTGCCAGTAGTCATCGGGGCCCTGGCCCAGACGTTGAGGGGAAGTTCGGCGGCACAAACCTTTCTGCGCTGCGCGTGTAGGTGGTCAGAGCGATGGATTTATGGAGTTTATCGATTCACGACCTGGAGCGATTGCATGAGCCTCTAAGGCGAAGTCGAACCCCCAAGTCTTGACTTCCAAACCCCGAATACTCTCAAGTAGCAATCACGATGAGCTCTGGGCATGTAGGGTGACGCTCCCTGCCAGGCAGCTCGCCTCAGACATAATGCGGTCTCGGTGAGGCCTTGTTGGAATTAGTGTCAGGAATTCGAGTGGAACACCGTCGAAACGGAATCATGCAACACGCCACAGGAGACTTGTGCACAGACTTGGCGATACTTGATATTGGTCTTACATTTCGCAGAGTTAGCTCCTGATCACAGAAGCCAAACAGTACTCACCTAATGTGAAGTGGCCCGGGCTGTGCTGGATCCAGCGCGTGCTGCATGCCGGGCATCTGCTGCCTGAGCGGCAGTGTGGCTTCCAGGCCCCGGTAGTGTTCTTCGGCGGGCTTGAAACTTGGGTGGCTACATCAAGGCCAACTACTGCGAGCAGAAGGGTTCATGTGTGACTGGCAGACACTCCGACACTCAGCCTCGTCCACTCCAGGTACATCTATAGAGTTTAGAGCTTAAAGGATAGACTCTGACTCTGGCGATTCAATAAACGGTGTCTATTTCGGCAACGACAGTACGTGACAGTATCCTCCCTGGGCTGCGTACTCCTCGCGTCCGAAGAGCGGTGCGGACCGCGCTGACGCGTCGCGGCGGGCGGCGGCCTCCGCCGCCTCAACAGACCATAAGTCGTGCAAGGTGTCGCCGTGGGACTACTTCTGAATAACAGAGTCATGTGTTGTGGAGAAGTCCGGACTTGAGTCGTAGGTGTAGTTTGTCAGGATTTGATCCCGCTTCAGAAGGCATAAAACAAGCTTCTTGAGGCTGCACCGACAGCATCGCAACTCCGCCCTTCAAGCCGCTCTCGAGTCGAGCTCGCCTGCGTCACGAGGTTCAACAAGGTGCCTGCACGTGCGCTCTGGCGTGAGTATCGTACTTGGTCCACAACTCTAAGTGTTTGAGCATGCAAGGTGGGGGGTCGCAGGCCTTGCGATGGGAAGCCACCGCCGCCGCCGCCGGTTGCGGGCAAATGCATCGGCCGGGAGGATGCAGGCCCGAACCTCGGCAGAGAGCCCAGCTCCTTTTCTATAATTATAAAGCCAAAAAGAGAGCTTCCTGAGCCCTCCTCGGGCTTGCACTGGGGCTGGCTCAGCAGGCCTCCCTGAGGGCCGCCAGGACCAGGGCCCGGAGTCGGGTTTGCCGGGCCGGGCCCTTGCCACGGCTGCGCTGGGAACCCGGGCCCGGCCTCAGACCACGCTGCGACAAGACAAGTAGGCCCAACCTTGCTATTATTATTACTACTATTGCTATCATTATTACTATTGTTATTATTACTACTATTATTATCATTATTACTATTATGATTAGAGCAAGGACTAAAGAGAGGGTGCGAGACTGGGCTGGGGCTGAAGTAGCGGCCCTGAGTGTCTGTGACTGTAGTAATATCTGCGCGTGACATCAACGTGCGTGAGAGAGCGTGTGGGCGGTCGAAAAACAAACCGCGGGTCCACCTGGATGTTGATGGTCATCGGCGTCCTGTCGAGGGATTGGGTCGGAAGGTGCCACCGACAGCCCACAAGACGCATAAACAGCAGCCTCAATGCTCCACCAACAACTGGAGCCAAGATAGTGAAAGAGGTTTTGGTAGAATTTTACACTTTGTGTGACTGGCCCTTCTTGGGGAAATCAACCTGTTGATCAACTTTTCCTGCCACGAATTTCAGGGGTAGTGGATCTAGCCGACGCTATGTGCAGGGGCGGTTTGAGGGCTGACCTGGATGCAGGAGATGTTGCAGACGTCGGAGAGGCTTCCGACCTGGCACAGCTTCGCCCCTTCGTTGCAGGGGTGCGGAGGATCGGATGAGATCCGGTTACGCCCTAAACTCTGGAAGCCCACTCCACCACCCACGCACTGCAAGAGCTCGGATAGGGAATGCTTGCGACACCCCACGTATGCAACAAATCGTTCGCAGTGCTGCGATTGATACTAAAGGCTTTCGTCCAGGCAAGAGTAGAGGAGAAACCGTGTGCCGACAAATCCGAGCAAGACGCCGGGAGACAACAGGTGTGGCGCCATGCTGCTGGGCTCTTAGACCCCAAACATCTGCATGTACGTCCGCAGTGCAACGTGCCAGCACCACGACTCTTCGCCCAGCCTTTGACGAAATGCTAGGCTTCCAGTGGAGGTTTCCGGCAAACATATATTGATTGGAGGTGCGACTCCTGAACATCCTGACCATCCTGACCCCGAAACCTGGTGCTACAGGCGCAAGAGCCTGTTTCTTTGTTGTAACCCCAGGCTTCAAACCTCGAAACCTAAACCGCACAAGGGGTCCAAACCGAAAGCACAGTCAGTTTAGCACAGTCAGTTTAGGGCCAGGCCGATGCCCTCGAGCCGCTGCATCTCCTGTCTAAGCTTAGGGGTCTGTCCCAGTCAGAACACCTTTGGCTTAGGGCAGGCCTTGACGAAGATTGGTGGATTGAGGCCACAGTGGGCGCATGTCGCCCAAACACATGAGTCATCAGCCCTTCAATCTGCAAAACCGCCTTCACTCCCGAAATACCCACTGCGCAATGCAGACGAAACCCTGGACTGAAACGACTTAACGCTGAACCCTGAGGGGTGCGCCTGCTGTTGCGGCCTGGCCACGCAAGGGATAAGCAGGCAATGAATAAAGGTGCTTGGTCGAAAACCGAGAAGCCAAACTATCCAAACTGCAGAGCAGCAAAGAGCTCTGGAGGCCGTAGCCTGACGTGAAAACCTCCGCCGTAAGGCGACCGTCAGCATGCATGGATTAACGTCTTTCCGTACCTAAATATATAGCTATATAATGTACAAATAATCTATGCGTGTGTCCCGGAATCCCCGAAGCCACCAACCATCGACGACAGCGGACCTGGGTGCTGGAGGCCGCGCAAGCATCCTGGAAAATCTTGGCCTCAGGGCATCACTATGACTATCCTTTATTACTACAAATACTATTATATGATCATTATTATTAAGACGGAGGTGTGAGTTCGTCGGGGTCAGCACGCGGAATGCGAGATGCGTCGAGGCCTTTAATTTAGCATCAGTTTCAGGCATCGTTGCACTGCGGGTGTGTTTTGGAATCATTTGGAAGAGATCCATGGCAAGAATGACCCAGACGATCATACACGCAGTAGATCGACGGCTAGAATCATTTTCGCGGTACAGAAGAAAGGGGCTACTGCACACTGGGCTGCACTGCCCCCCAATGCCCCCCCCCCCCCCCACACGCCCCTGAAACATCAAAACACGCCTCGACTTGGCTTCCGGCGGCCTGGACGAGGTGCGTCGGCATACGGCCAACACGACCACCATCCTCGCGACCAAAGAAGATGGGCTGAGTCGGGATTCGAGGCTCGATGCCTGACGTGCCTAGAACAAACGCGGCTGTTTGAGGGGGACTTCATGTGAAGGGGATTAGGGCTTTTAGGGTTGAAAACTGTTTATGGTTGTATATGGTATAAGGTTCGGGGATGTGGATGTCAGGGGGATTTCAGGGCGTGGGCACCTAGGTTGGAAGCCGAAAATGAAAGCTGTTGCCCAACACGGATCCAGATGAGACAAGAAGGCATGCCACCCGGCACTCGCATCACTCATTCCCATCAGTAGCGACGACTCCCCCTGAACTTCGAAGAAAAGGACCGACGGGCGTCCTCCTCTCCATAGTCAGTGACCAAGCTGCTGTGCTTTGCAAAAGGCTCCTGTTTTTCCAGCTGTCAGAAAAGGCTGCAGGAGAGTCGCAGGCAAAGGAAAAAGCCTCAGTGCTACTGCAACTATGCAACTCATTGGGAGCTTCTTCCAGACACTGAGAAGGAAAACATACTGGCCTCTTAACTCCCTTAATCAGCCAATCTGTTTGATACTGTATCATTTATCATGCGGCACGCACTGCACAAACGTTACAATCTAACTGGATCCTCATCCCCGTTGTCGGTGACGATGCTGGCGTGCTTCGCGAACATAAGCTCCTGAGCAAAACCGGCTGCAGCAAGGAGCAACAAGTAAAGGCTCTCTCTCTCTCTCTCTCTCTCTCTCTCTTACAAACCATGCTTAAAGCCAGTACTCACGCGATGCCGTTCGCCTCATCCTCGTCAGAGTCAGCAGGACCTGTGGTCAGTAAGTGGAGATGAGCCGGGGGGGCTCCCAAAAAGCATAGGCAGGCGCTGCACAGACACGATGTCTCACATCTCTCGATCATGGTCGTCTCACTTCTTTACAGCTTGTTACCATCATCTTTTTGACTCTGAAGCTGGCTACACCAGTACACTGACGTCAAAAACAGTGGGCTAAGGGTCCGGGCCGAAAAGCAACCCTCGGACTTGTCAACAAGACTTCCCCACACTCTACTACACCTGTGCTGCTACTCCGAGACGGCCAGTTGCGACGATGTAGACACCTGATAATCGGTCCTCTCTGTTTATGGATCTTGATCCGAGGACTCCCGGCCTAATCCTTACAAAGGGAAGGCAGATTACTGATCAAGGGCTTTAGGCTCGATAGCTCCGTTTTAGGCAGCCCATGTTTTCAGAGATCCGAGTTTCGGGGCGGTCCGTTCCATGACCACTCTCACGCCCAGGCCTTTGGCCAACCTTCCGTTGCTGTTCCGCCGACCCCCACGGGCCTTGGCCAAATCCGGGGAGTTTCTCCGGGCTCACGAGGGAGGAGGTACACGTTTACAGTTACTGAAGGGAAAGACAGTACTGCTCACGTAGCTTAGCAGGAATAAAACCCACTTCCTCAATCCAACCCAAAGCCTGAAAGCCTGAACACCCCCAGTTGCAACTCATCAAAAACACTGGAGGCAATGGCTCGTGCCCTGCAAAACATGTTCTCAAGGTCGTATGCTGGCTTATAGTTGAAAAAGGCCCGAAGCCAAACCCCTCACGCCCAGACCTCGCGAAATGCCGAAGCCTGCTTGATCCTGGACCTTGAAACAGAAAATTCAGCAAACCCCAGGGCCCCTGCCACCATGAACACCGGATTCAAAGAAGAAAAGGACACGAACATCGCCAAAGCAAAGAAGGCTCTAAGAACACGGCCCCGGTCACCTGGAGGTGCTGCATTCCCCCCGTGGCGGCCGGCCGCTGCGGGGTCGAGAACCAGCCCTGGCGTTACAGGCGACGCAACGGTTTAGGATTGAGGGTTTGGGGCTTAGGGTCTGGTGGGTTAGGCCGGTTAGGGGATCAAAGGGGTGCTCTGTATTTGATATACGGCGTCCACAGCCTTTTGCCGGGGCTTATTTTGAAGGATCAGGCCCTCAGCGAGCACGTGTAACTGTACGGGCAGATCTACAGGTGTAGGTAAGGCTTTTGTATGTATAATTATCTTATATTTATGTATTTCGTATTTAATACTTGCTGTGTGCGTGTGCGTCTGCAAGGCCACTGGTATAGGCCCGTCTACCTCCTACCCTAATTGCGACACATGTAAAGCTACTTATAGCTTTTACTTGCCCAACAACCTACACTCTTTAAGGAGTAATTACTTGCATCAGGTCAGAGAGGAGGCCTGTGAGGGATTTCGGTGCTGCAGAGCGTTCCATAGGGAGTTTAGGAGACCTGAGATGTCTTCGTTATTTCGAAGCCTCCCCGCTTACTTAGCCCGGAAACTTTTGAAACCCCAATGCGAATCCTCTCGGCCTCGTCTCCGCCATCGGTGAGGATGCTGGGGTAGTGGGTCATCATCATGGCATCCTGCCCAATGATCTTTCCATTCATCGGCTCTCTCTTTCTTTCTTTCGTGGGGAGTTCTCTCTCGCTCTCTCTCTCTCTCTCTCTCTCTTTCTTTCTTCCTGCAGGGCGTAAGGGTCGCGTGCGACCCCCAGGCTCTCGGCCCGCCCAACCACCCCCTGTATTATGGAGTGGCTGGTTTTTGGGGTAGGCCAGATTATGGCAATGTACAACCCAGTATGTTCTGGGCTTACAAGCAGAGAGCCCCCCCGAACACTGAACACAAAAACAACCCCCGCCTCGTCCCCGCGCCCCTGTGGCTAACGATCCTTAGCCTATAGTAGGTTCGAGGGGGCATGAAAAAGCCGGTTGAATTGTCGCCCCCCCTGCTCTCGCACAGCAAGGAGAGGATGCCGAATTATTTGTAGAAGGGCGAATCAGACATCGTCGAATCGACGGCAATGCAGCGAATTGCAAAAGGCGGAAAAAGGCTGCCAAAGCGGAGCAGCTTACGGCAAAAAGGCCGAACCTATGGTAGAGAGGGAACGTGCCGGCGTGCATTCCCCCGGCTGGGTTGTATGGAAAAGGGAAAATCCCCCACCAAGTGAAAGCTCAGTCGCGGAAAAGGGGAGGGGTCACTCAACTAAGCAACCAAGCAGAAGCAAACCAAAAACCGAAAACCCGTCCCAAACTCCCCTCTTCGGTCACTGCTTGAAAAACTTTTTCCGCTGCGCTCACTCCGTCTCAGTGCTGGACCTTGCCGCGTTCCCCCCTCTGCGTTGTGCCAGATACTCTTGCACCTCCTGCACCTGCCAGCTTATGCTCGGCACCAGGGTGATTGCCGGTCTCCCCCGAGCGCCCTGTGGTTCTCCAGCAGGTAGGTTCGGCGTGTCTGTGAGCTGGCGCGACCTTTTGCTCCGTGGTTCCCCCGCCGGCTCTCTGGGTCGTCTGGCGTTGGGCTCTCCCTCCGGCTCGGCGGGCCTCCTGCGGTCAGCTGTGCGCCATGTTGGCGGTTCCCCCAGTGGCTCTGCGGGCTTCTCCTCGTTGGCTTCCCGGTCTGACGGTCTGCCTTCTGCTCCCCACGGCCATTGTGAGTCGGCGTCCTGGTAGTAGCCATTGTGGTTGTCGTCGTCATGTCCCCCCAGGCCTGCACTTTGGTTGTCGTCGTCCGGCCGCCATGGTTGTACTTCCCGCCTGGGCTGGCCTGTGCTGCTTGGGAGGGTGGGCCGTTGCCGTGTGGTCTGGGATGGCCGTGTCCGTGAGCTCCTCCTCCGGGTCTGGTGGTTGCGCCGCGTCTGTCTCTGGTTGGGCCATGCCGCCATCCAAGCTGTAACGCCGTCGTTGTCTGCCACATTCTTGTCGGCACCAGCCTCCAGCAGCAGGCGGACGACTTCGACATTTTCGTTTTCGAAACATGCCGCCATCAGTGCTGTAAAGCCTCTCTTGTCGGCCGCATCTTTGTCGGCACCGGCCTCCAGCAGTAAACGTACAACTTCGACATGGCCTCCCTGCGATGCTGTCTTCAGAGCTGTGGAGCCGTTGTGGTTGGTGGCATTCTTGTCCGCGCTGGCCTCCAGCAGCACCCGTACAACTTCGAAATGACCACGCTGAAATGCTGTCAGAAGAGCTGTAGAACCATGGTTGCCCGTCGCATTCTTGTCGGCACCGGCCTCCAGCAGCAAGCGTACAACTTCGACATGACCTTCGATAGTTGCCATCCGCAGTGGTGTGCGTCCGTCCGAGTGAGGCAAGTCTGGATCTTGGGGAAGATGCAGCATCGACTCAACCTGGGTGGCAGAGCCGCGGCGAGCGGCGACTGCGAGCTCGTTCACTTGAGTTTGAGGAACATCGGCAAATGGCAACAACACGAGAGTCAGATCCATCGTGCATGTAAGCATCGCAGCATCCGCCAAGTTCTCGCCATAGGAAAGGACCCTCTGCCTGAATCGCGGGGGCAACTGATGCAGCTGGTTCAGGCGCTGCTTCAAGCCTCGAACGTCCAACGTATCCTCTACGGGAATGAAGGCCGCAAGTTGCCCAGAGAGCCACCAGACGAGCCGTTGTGGTTGGTGGCATTCTTGTCCGCGCTGGCCTCCAGCAGCAACCGTACAACTTCGAAATGACCACGCTGAGATGCTGTCAGAAGAACTGTAGAACCATGGTTGCCCGTCGCATTCTTGTCGGCACCGGCCTCCAGCAGCAAGCGTACAACTTCGACATGACCTTCGATTATGGCCATCCGCAGTGGTGTGCGTCCGTCCGAGTGAGGGAAGTCTGGATCTTGGGGAAGATGCAGCATCGACTCAACCTGGGTGGCAGAGCCGCGGCGAGCGGCGACTGCGAGCTCGTCCACTTGAGTTTGAGGAACATCGGCAAATGGCAACAACACGAGAGTCAGATCCATCGTGCATGTGAGCATCGCAGCATCCGCCAAGTTCTCGCCATAGGAAAGGACCCTCTGCCTGAATCGCGGGGGCAACTGATGCAGCTGGTTCAGGCGCTGCTTCAAGCCTCGAACGTCCAACGTATCCTCTACGGGAATGAAGGCCGCAAGTTGCCCAGAGAGCCACCAGACGAGCCGTTGTGGTTGGTGGCATTCTTGTCCGCGCTGGCCTCCAGCAGCAACCGTACAACTTCGAAATGACCACGCTGAGATGCTGTCAGAAGAGCTGTAGAACCATGGTTGCCCGTCGCATTCTTGTCGGCACCGGCCTCCAGCAGCAAGCGTACAACTTCGACATGACCTTCGATAGTCGCCATCCGCAGTGGTGTGCGTCCGTCCGAGTGAGGCAAGTCTGGATCTTGGGGAAGATGCAGCATCGACTCAACCTGGGTGGCAGAGCCGCGGCGAGCGGCGACTGCGAGCTCGTCCACTTGAGTTTGAGGAACATCGGCAAATGGCAACAACACGAGAGTCAGATCCATCGTGCATGTAAGCATCGCAGCATCCGCCAAGTTCTCGCCATAGGAAAGGACCCTCTGCCTGAATCGCGGGGGCAACTGATGCAGCTGGTTCAGGCGCTGCTTCAAGCCTCGAACGTCCAACGTGTCCTCTACGGGAATGAAGGCCGCAAGTTGCCCAGAGAGCCACCAGACGAGCCGTTGTGGTTGGTGGCATTCTTGTCCGCGCTGGCCTCCAGCAGCAACCGTACAACTTCGAAATGACCACGCTGAGATGCTGTCAGAAGAGCTGTAGAACCATGGTTGCCCGTCGCATTCTTGTCGGCACCGGCCTCCAGCAGCAAGCGTACAACTTCGACATGACCTTCGATAGTTGCCATCCGCAGTGGTGCGCGTCCGTCCGAGTGAGGCAAGTCTGGATCTTGGGGAAGATGCAGCATCGACTCAACCTGGGTGGCAGAGCCGCGGCGAGCGGCGACTGCGAGCTCGTCCACTTGAGTTTGAGGAACATCGGCAAATGGCAACAACACGAGAGTCAGATCCATCGTGCATATAAGCATCGCAGCATCCGCCAAGTTCTCGCCATAGGAAGTTAAAGGACCCTCTGCCTGAATCGCGGGGGCAACTGATGCAGCTGGTTCAGGCGCTGCTTCAAGCCTCGAACGTCCAACGTATCTTCTACGGGAATGAAGGCCGCAAGTTGCCCAGAGAGCCACCAGACGAGCCGTTGTGGTTGGTGGCATTCTTGTCCGCGCTGGCCTCCAGCAGCAACCGTACAACTTCGAAATGACCACGCTGAGATGCTGTCAGAAGAGCTGTAGAACCATGGTTGCCCGTCGCATTCTTGTCGGCACCGGCCTCCAGCAGCAAGCGTACAACTTCGACATGACCTTCGATAGTTGCCATCCGCAGTGGTGTGCGTCCGTCCGAGTGAGGCAAGTCTGGATCTTGGGGAAGATGCAGCATCGACTCAACCTGGGTGGCAGAGCCGCGGCGAGCGGCGACTGCGAGCTCGTCCACTTGAGTTTGAGGAACATCGGCAAATGGCAACAACACGAGAGTCAGATCCATCGTGCATGTAAGCATCGCAGCATCCGCCAAGTTCTCGCCATAGGAAAGGACCCTCTGCCTGAATCGCGGGGGCAACTGATGCAGCTGGTTCAGGCGCTGCTTCAAGCCTCGAACGTCCAACGTATCCTCTACGGGAATGAAGGCCGCAAGTTGCCCAGAGAGCCACCAGACGAGCCGTTGTGGTTGGTGGCATTCTTGTCCGCGCTGGCCTCCAGCAGCAACCGTACAACTTCGAAATGACCACGCTGAAATGCTGTCAGAAGAGCTGTAGAACCATGGTTGCCCGTCGCATTCTTGTCGGCACCGGCCTCCAGCAGCAAGCGTACAACTTCGACATGACCTTCGATAGTTGCCATCCGCAGTGGCGTGCGTCCGTCCGAGTGAGGCAAGTCTGGATCTTGGGGAAGATGCAGCATCGACTCAACCTGGGTGGCAGAGCCGCGGCGAGCGGCGACAGCGAGCTCGTCCACTTGAGTTTGAGGAACATCGGCAAATGGCAACAACACGAGAGTCAGATCCATCGTGCATGTAAGCATCGCAGCATCCGCCAAGTTCTCGCCATAGGAAAGGACCCTCTGCCTGAATCGCGGGGGCAACTGATGCAGCTGGTTCAGGCGCTGCTTCAAGCCTCGAACGTCCAACGTATCCTCTACGGGAATGAAGGCCGCAAGTTGCCCAGAGAGCCACCAGACGAGCCGTTGTGGTTGGTGGCATTCTTGTCCGCGCTGGCCTCCAGCAGCAACCGTGCAACTTCGAAATGACCACGCTGAGATGCTGTCAGAAGAGCTGTAGAACCATGGTTGCCCGTCGCATTCTTGTCGGCACCGGCCTCCAGCAGCAAGCGTGCAACTTCGACATGACCTTCGATAGTTGCCATCCGCAGTGGTGTGCGTCCGTCCGAGTGAGGCAAGTCTGGATCTTGGGGAAGATGCAGCATCGACTCAACCTGGGTGGCAGAGCCGCGGCGAGCGGCGACTGCGAGCTCGTTCACTTGAGTTTGAGGAACATCGGCAAATGGCAACAACACGAGAGTCAGATCCATCGTGCATGTAAGCATCGCAGCATCCGCCAAGTTCTCGCCATAGGAAAGGACCCTCTGCCTGAATCGCGGGGGCAACTGATGCAGCTGGTTCAGGCGCTGCTTCAAGCCTCGAACGTCCAACGTATCCTCTACGGGAATGAAGGCCGCAAGTTGCCCAGAGAGCCACCAGACGAGCCGTTGTGGTTGGTGGCATTCTTGTCCGCGCTGGCCTCCAGCAGCAACCGTGCAACTTCGAAATGACCACGCTGAGATGCTGTCAGAAGAGCTGTAGAACCATGGTTGCCCGTCGCATTCTTGTCGGCACCGGCCTCCAGCAGCAAGCGTACAACTTCGACATGACCTTCGATAGTTGCCATCCGCAGTGGTGTGCGTCCGTCCGAGTGAGGCAAGTCTGGATCTTGGGGAAGATGCAGCATCGACTCAACCTGGGTGGCAGAGCCGCGCCGAGCGGCGACTGCGAGCTCGTCCACTTGAGTTTGAAGAACATCGGCAAATGGCAACAACACGAGAGTCAGATCCATCGTGCATGTAAGCATCGCAGCATCCGCCAAGTTCTCGCCATAGGAAAGGACCCTCTGCCTGAATCGCGGGGGCAACTGATGCAGCTGGTTCAGGCGCTGCTTCAAGCCTCGAACGTCCAACGTATCCTCTACGGGAATGAAGGCCGCAAGTTGCCCAGAGAGCCACCAGACGCGCAGCATCTTTATGACATGTACATCCAGTGCGCTAGGTCCAAACGATAGCAAGAACTTGATCCAAAATGGCTACTTGCTTGCTACCGGGCTTGGAGGGGCTGCAGCGTCCCGGCAACTCTCTCTCTCTCTCTCTCTCTCTCACACTGGAAGCCCTGGTCCCGTTCTGTGCATCTCATGTGGGTGGTTGTCAAAAAGGGTCCCTTTTTGGGTACCCTGAAAATTTGTGCGGTATTCTGATAGGGACCTCAAAAGGGACCCTAATTTTGACAACCACCTATGTGAAAACAGCCAAGAACAGCTACATGTCGACAGCATCTGGGGTCGGGACATAGCAGGCTCCACAAATGCCAATTTTAGGGGTTTGCTATGGGCCAAGACAGGCTCATAACAGCCGTCAGTCAAGGCAAGGCCTGCTCCTAAATAGGAGTTTCCAAAAACTAGGGGTACCTTGTTTTGGAGTCCTCACCAATCAGGATCCGACGATTAGGATGCCCCATTTTCGGAAACTCCCAAATCGTAAACCTTCGCAGCCAGGCCTCCAGATCCTCCTCGTCGCCTCTCAGCCGCTCTGGGAATGCTGAAGGGAAAGAGCTGATGCTTCCCATACGAATACTCCACCATGATGTATTCTAACCATCTACTATAGCATACTGATTATTACATGCTGTAATATTCTATGGCATACTAGCATATACTATATATACTGTAGTATACTATAATATGCTAACTTCACATAAAATAATATCCTATCCCGTACTATCGTACACTATAACGTACGATAGTATCATATACTCCAATATAGTAATATACTACTGACAGCAGACCAGGGCCAGCCTCGGCCGAGCTTGATGCCACTGTTGCGCCGGCCCTCGCTGATTCACCGTCACAGCAGTCCGACACGAAGTCTAATGAGCTCAGGCTTTGTTGACGGCCTACTGCAGCAAGAGATAAGGGTTTACGGTTTAGGGCTTTTCCTCTAATCGGTGTTTACTGTAAGATTGTACGGCGGGTGAAGGTGCTGTTACGACAGTGATGTTGCTTTGACGATGGCGGTGGTGCAAATGAAGCCGATGATGATGATGATGATGCTGATGGTGATGGGGGGGAGGTTGGCGAGGAAAGGAGACATCATGAGGATGATGATGAGGATGATGAGGATGATGATGATGATGATGATCATGATGTTGCTGATGATGATGCTCATAAAGGTTGTAGTTGCGGTCGTGGTGCACACGTGCACCTACGAAAAGTCAAGTTCTCTTCAGCCGGATCCCTCAACCCAGGCCTGCCAATATGTCAGGTTCGGCATGGAGTGCATGGGCTGCACAGTCTCGGATGGGACAGAGAAGTGAGGGAGGCTGTAGGTTCGAAGGGCTCTCGATCCCGTGCGGAGATCAAAGCAAGAACGTGCCAGGTCTTGCTTCGGGGCACCTCGTCGTAGCTGAGATCTGTCATCATGCTGTTGAACTTCAAGGTCGCCGGTATTCCCTGCAGAAGCAAAGCTGGATTTACCCGTTAAGGGCTTCGGAGTCTTCATGACTCACATGTTAAGGAAACAAGAGACAAACAAAGATCTCGATGCCTGGCGGAGCTTGCATCGATGAGACGGTTTCAAAACAAGCACAACCGACGGCTTCAGATGCGGAAGGTCGTCGCTGAGCAATACCTAAAGCACGAACCTCACACGAATCCCAAGAATTGCATCTGCAGTGCTGGGTCCTCGTCCTCCTCCAGGCCCCCTCGAGTGCCTGTGCTCCGGGCCTGAAACACCGCAGTACTGGCTTGAGGATACCAGTAGCGATCAACACGGCCGGGGTTGCACTTGAAAGAATTTGTGTTGCCGTCCTTGGGGGATGCCTTGCCCTTGCTTCGACCGTCAAGGTGTCTCTGTCAACTGGCTGCAGCTCGGTGGCACTCAGAGGAATCCTCATGTGCGCTGCTAGCACACCCTGGCAAAGGCACATGCACTCAAAGTCTAACCGGCAAAACAGCAAATCACAGCAAGGCCGCTATGCCGACAGCGCCTCGTCACCAAAGTCCTTGGTCGACTTGCTCACGTCCTGCGGAGTCTAGCGAGTGGGCAGCGAAGCGAACGGAAGCTGTCCGTTGAAGGCAGGCCACTTGGACCTCACCCCTTTCACCCGAAACCCCAGGACCTCTTGTAACTCCCACGTAAATCCCACAAAAGGCTGTGAGTAGAGCTCCTGGCTACCAGGCGACTCAAGACAGTCGCCATCCTGCAGGCGTCTTAGAGCTTCCTGGGGCTTCGGGATTGAAAGTCATTCCTGTCTACAATTCTACAAGAGTCTACATTGATTCGAGCCACTGCAAAGGGAGCGATCCTGTGGTTTCTTCGTGGAGTAAACTGATTACAGGAAACACAAAAGATCATAGCCCTCAGACTCTGAACTCAAGGAGCGGTTGGTTTCTGGAGAATCAGAATCTTCGACAGATTCTCGTGTTTGTCAGGCATAGCGAGCTGGACAGGTGGCCCTGCTGCCTGTGGCGAGGCGGTGGTCGGACTGATCGTAGGCACCTCCTGGCTGCACTGACGTCCTACAACTGCAAGATCTGGAAGATGTAGCGATCCGGAAGTTTCCGATCCCTTCTTGCCCTGGCACCTCGCTGATCGCGTGCATGCTCTTGGTGCTGCGTGAGCTGGCGTTGCCCACACCTAGATCGCTGGCCTTGGAAGAGCTCTGAAGCTCTGAGGCCATTGGACCCGTGGGATCTGGGAAGAGTGCCTAAATCCTCTGAGGGGCTTTCGGGGAGAGCACTGAAAACACCGAGGGGAGCACTGGCAAACGCAGGCTCAATGGATTTGCCTCATTTGAGGACCTGGGCGCCAGTCCCCAATGCCCCTCATCTCCCATCCGTCCTGGGGACCTACAGCGTCGTCTCTCGCGGGCCGGCCCGGGACCATGCAAAACACGACTGACGCTCCTTTTTAAAGCGAATCCGCCTCACACTGCCGCGCTACTAGCACCTCGGCTGTGCTGCTAGCTTTGAGAGAGGGCACCCAGCTGTATCCAGCTGCACATGGCTCAACGCTATGAGTGTGACTTCGCTATACCCGCGCACTGGAGCCACGGCATCTACTGCTGACACCAGTCTCAGGTCCAACGCGATGATTCCAATTACTGCACTGTCATCTGAAATCTGGTTCAAGCATTCTGGGGTTCGCATATATAATCATATATAAAGCCATCAAAACACCCAGAGCAGAGTACATCTAAGCAGCTGTCCACACATGTCCACACTAGACTGCAGGTTTTGTAATTCTGGCATCCCAAATATGCATGTGGATGTCCATGTGTATACAAGCGTGTTCGTACGTATGTGCGTATATGGCGACAAGATCAATATTCAAAGATTAGACTGACAGTTACACAGTATTACACAGTTATCTGGAATACTGTGCCATCCGACCCTCGCAGCCCTTACACCAAGTATGGGCCACGCGTCGGTATCCTGGTGAAGGCCGTGGTAGGGTGGCGCTCCGCCCGTCTCGGACCGATACATCGCATGCAGCGTGCGGAACTCCCGCCGGCCGGACTGAAATCCGCGGACCACCTGAAGGAGGAGAAGGAGGCAGAGGCCACACTGAGGCCACAGTAGGACAGACACGGAAAGATGGGGGATGTGGGGAACAAAACTACAAAATCTGCGACGCCACGACTACGACGACGACTTACCACTGCTGATATGCTGATATACTACGCCCCAATTGACACACCACTGGCTACTAGCCACCCTCTCAGGTCCAGATGGAGCCTTGATGTGCTCATCGTCGTTGTGCAGAAAGCGTTGCCAGCGCCTCGCCTCCTGAAGCGCCTCGTCGCTGCAGGCGTCGGCGGGCAGATCTTCGAAGTTCTCCTCTGCATGTCGGCACGAAGCTCCAGGCAGATTCGGCTCTGCTTGCGGCTGCAGGCTCCGAACATACTCCGTTTTTTTAAGTCTTGGGCAACGCGCTCGGCCGGAGCCGGAAACGGCAGGCAATTTAAAATTGAAAGCCCGGAGTGAAATAATGTGCTGTTTCACCCAAGGCCCACCTGCAACAGCCCGGCAAAGAAGCGACGGTCCGCTGCTTTGGTCTCAAGGTCCTTGCATGCAAGAAGCATGCCGATCAATGGTGAACACCTCTACAGCGTTACTTCAGAATGCTTCAGAACCATGCCACTGCCAGCGTGCAATATCATGACAGCTCACGAATGCATGGTCGTCGTACATGCATCCATGGACACAGATAGAAATGCAGACGCTGATATGTACATTAAATACATACATAGCTAGTAGTAGGATACTGTCATGCTATAGCGATACAGATAAACTTCTGTCGTGTCCTTGCTATGGCACTCTTAGTGTGGCGGCAGTACTGCAATATGCATACTGCAAACGCAGAAGTCTGAAGTAGTTTTACCAGACACCGTTGCAGCATGTTGCAGCTAGCTAGTTAGTACCTACAAAACCTTCAGCAACGCTGCATTGGAATATCCGCAGCATGCTGACATTGGTCAGTTCTCTTGCACGATACTCCGAAGAAACCAACTTATCTAAGTTCTGGTTCTGTCATTCTAGCAGTGCTGCGAAGGCCACTGTCTACAAGGGCAACTATAAATAAGCAAGGCTGAAGGATGGGAAGGACTCTGTCAGCTCTGCTCCGTGTCCAACACTAAGTGCACCGATCAAAGGATCTTGAGAGGAAACCGTCTGCATTCACGAACACGCCGAGAAGGCCAAACGGATATGTGCAAGTGTTTACAGTCTCACCTGATGCGGCAAAGCCTGTAGCCTACATCCCCGAAACCTGAAACTCTCTCCTCACGCATGGACTCGTCGTTCACCCCGCCGATTGCCCAGACCCCGCTAAGGGCCCCCTCCGAGAGGTACCCGGTCAGGCTCCTTGCATGGACAACTGTCAATTCAGGGTGCACGTCATGCTCCCGAGCTTCACATCGTATGCCAAGACATCTAACACGACAGCACGCACTCCCATATCATTTAATCGCTCGCCGTCCACGAGGCATTAATGCTTACTTCCAACTTTCTCTGCAACATGTCCCTGTGTGGAAGCAACTGTTTCGCCCCAATACAAGCAAACCGAGACAGACAGACATGTATGGATGGACACATATGCGCGCGTGTGCTTGTGTGCACGCCACACTGCACGGAGCGTTTGGTTCATTTCAAAAATTTGCCCTTTGCGGTCGACACAAGTTTACATTGCAAGTCACAGTCATCCTCCTGAGTTTTAGCTTAGCAGACACTGTAAGGAGCTTCCGAATGCAAAGAGATGAGAAACACCTTCCGCCGTCGCGGAAGAGATGCCTGTGATTCCGAAATTTGCCCGTGACAGAAACAGTGCGAGAGGTTGAAGAATGGAGGTCTAGAGATACGGGCATTGCGGCATAGGTTGCATGCGGGTAGGTCCTAGGAGGGCTTGCGTATGAAATCGTATGAATGACCTAGGGAGCGAGCACAAGTACGCACAGGCAGACACGGATCCGGAGGAAGATGCATAGACACTGACGTCGTTGCAAGATCTCATCCTGCAAGACAGCCTGGCCTGGAAGCCTGAGACCCTCAAAATCTGAAAGGCATGCGCAGCCCAATCCCGCGTCCTTGGCAGGGCCACCAGCTCCGGCACCAACAGCGGAGAATGCACCTCGGGCGAAGAACTTGGGACTGGTCTTGCACTGCACCTCGGGGCTGCGGAACGGAGCTTTAACGGGGAGCCTGGAGCTTAGCAAGGCCCCTTGGAGCTGAAATCACCAAAGGTGGTTCATGCTCCCCAAGCCATGGCACAATCCTTATGGAGCGCTCCTGAAGGCCTTCCATCGTCAGCTGCTCCACGCCGCCTGCCAAAAAAAAGCGAGCTTTATTCGAACACACAATGCCTGGCGCATGTCATGCTGCGGGAGCATATACCGTGATTCATTAGCGGCGGCGACAACGACGACTACTGACGGCGATGGTAACGATGATGATGGTGATGATAATGATGATAGTGATGCCGCTGATGACAACGATGACGACGTCGATGATGACGATGATGACGGTGAGATGATGACGACGGGGACGATGATGATGATGATGATGAGGATGCTGAAGATGACACTGCTGATGATGATGATGATGATGACGACATCAACGACAAGCAGCTTCTTCAAACTGAACATGTTCTTCCGGTCAGCAGCATGGTTCACAATTGCCTCACTGTCTGCTTGGACTTGTCCGTTGGCAAAGGTCAAAGGGCTTTTACTATCACTGCTGCTCCTGCTACTGACAGAAACAGCGACTGCCAGAGCTACGACCCTAGCACCATGCAAAAGTAGCGAGGGCAGCCGTAATGTTGGAATTGGCCTTGATGCAACCCTACCCAAAACGGAGACAGGGTTACTTGCCTGGGTTGCTGTATAGCGCGTGCAGCGCCTCCGGACTGAGCACCAAGCCCGGCCGCAGATCCAGGGCCTTGGGCTCAAGGCTTGGATTATGCAACTTACTGCTGTAGTCATCATTGTCGTCAGCAGTACCATCACCACCATCCTCCTCGCAACAGCGAAAGATTCTGAGCAGGATCAGCATCAGGTCAAAGTGCTCAAAGCTTGAGCACCTTTCACAAAGCCCCCGGAGGCCTATGGAAGCTCGCGAGCATGGCAAAATGATAGTGCAGCGGCGACATGCGGCGACATGGATTGCAACTTCAAACCATAATGTGCGAGCCATGGTTCGGATCAGCGTTTATGCATATCATATTCCTATCTATTGGGTGTGCATTTTAGACACTCACCTCCGCGATACTTGGCATCTGGCGCCCTCATTGCGGAAGGCGAAGGCTACACCTCAGAGATGGCAAGGTACAAACAGGCAGTGCGGCGAAGGAGGCCAAAAACTGCACAAGCCCCATGCAGGGGTGCAAGGAACTTTCCGTCCTGCACCCAAGGCGCTGCCCACTTCTAGCCCAGAACGCTGCAGCTCCTTGGCGCAACTAAGCGGAGTTCTGACCTGCGATGACACGCCGCCGAGCCATGCCGAGCCTGGAGGAAGGCTCCCAGGGCAGGCCGGTGGAGCCAGGCACCCGCCGGCCGCAGCAGCGCCCAGTGCTGGCCCAAACGAGCCGGAGCCTGCGAAAAGCCGCGATAGAGTGTAGAGTACAGAGCGCGTTCTGCTACCTGCAAGGCTCGCTTCGCCCCTCGCCGCTGCGCCTTCCGCACTGCGAAGTCCTCGAAGCTCACATCGCTGAAGTCCTCGTAGCGGTGCGGCCACCGGTCCTGTAGCCGAGCTCCAAGCGGAGCCCTACAAGCCCAAGCCTCAAACAACGTCTGTCTCTGGCCTCGAAGTAATCGTCGATGGTCTCTGGGCCGAGGTGGCTCTCCGCCACGGAAGACGTGAAGACCTTTGGAGCCTTGGGTTGGAGCGGTTTGGAGGCGAACAGAAAAATCGCAGCACCATCGTGCATACTTCAGTGGAACAAGTAGCAAGCATTGCCTGCCTTTCTTCTTCGCAGGTTCGGGCAGATTATTGAGTGGGGTCTAAGTGCCACGTCCGAGGGGACCCTGAGATCCGTGAGGCCCTATGCCGGGTGCAAACGGGTGCAAGCAAGCTGCTGGGCCGGGCTCGCAGAACCGGATCCTGCTCGGCTCGGGACGTCTTGGGATCGGGACTGGTCCGCAACACAGAGGCAGGCAGAGACACCGGAAAAAGCAGCATCTTCAAAGGTGCGCACATATGCGCGATGCGGTACATATGCTTCTGCATGGAAGCACGAGTAGGTACGGATGTATGTATGTGCATGCCTGCGTATGTATGTGTATGTATGCCTGTATAAGAGAACAGCTCGATGGTAAAAGCATATCTGAGCTCTGAGCTGCCTGTATGACATGGAGAGTATCAAGCAGAGGCAGGATCCAGAAAAGATGCAGCAACATTCGGTCAAAGTTCGATGGTGCGCAGATAGATACGTTAGGTAAGCTGCAGCATGGCCCTGTCGGATTCATACTAATAGCAGTGGTCCTTTCAGCAAGCTGCTGCGAGGTCCAAGTGGGCGTGGAAGGTGCGCTGCCTTGGTTGGGCTCAGGCGGGCTCAGACTCAGGGTTGAGGCACCCAGGAGGATCCTATGAGTTTCTATGTGACTCAGTAGAAGACAAAGAAGTAAATCCTCTGGTACCCTGCTCTGTGCCGGCACGAAGCATGCGAGGTTGGGGAAGTCCTCCTGCGACAGATCTGGTGATGCGCTGGCGGTGCGTGCTGCGGCTAGTGCACTGAGTTCTGTTGTTGCAACTCTCACTAGGATCAGTCATCTTTGCGATTGCTCTGACTACATGTTGGTGTCGTGTGCTTACATACCTTCTGCCTTCCGAAGAATGAAGAAGCTACGAGAACTGCCTCAGTTGCGATCCGTCTTCTGATCGTCACCGGTAAGTAGTATCGATATGGTCGCACCGACTTTGATATTGTGGTCTTGATGGTTGCCAGCAGTCTTTCTGTCAACTACTGACACTACTGACACTACTGCTACTATTGCTGCTCCATTGCCACTGATACTACATTCAGATTTGCTGTTGGATCTTCACCACCATCTTTGTCACCAGCAGTATCATGGTGTTGTTATATAGTAGCCAGCTAGCAAGAGCAGCTATAGTAGAAAAAGTATAACAGCTATAGCCACGCCTCGAAGGGATGGGATTCCACGGCCTCCTGGCGACCAAGCGTCGACTGGGCCAGGCCTCCTGACACCATTTGAGGCTTTCATCGGCTACCGTAAGCATTAAGGCCATTAAGGGTTCGATTATTATAGTTACTATTATTATAGTTACTATTATGATTACTATTACTATAATTACTTGAGCTGAAGACTGGTTTGGTCTACCTTGGACGTCTTGACTTCTCGATGCACTGATCCAGCCAGCCTGCTGAAATCCAGTGATGGGCGAGGAGATCAGCCTAGCGTCGCGACCATGGAATGCAAGGCTTGCCAGAATGGCATTTGTTCAACTTGCTGAATTTCGGCAAGCCGCTGTGAGATGCCGATCTTGGTCGGCCATGTTGCCTAGGTGGCCGCATCGAAAGTAAGCAAGACATCAGGGCCATCTGTCAAATGGAGCAGCCGACCTTCAACTAAGAAACCGCAGGACATTGGCAGCTCCCAATCTGGCACTGCAATGACATCATGATCTCCTACTTACAACACACCTCGAAGACACAGCGGCCAAAGAACGTGCTTCTTCCTCCAAGAAAATCGGCCCAGTTGCTGGTGTGGCAATGCATCGCTGGAACGTGAACCATTGGCACAGCCGTGTAGAGAGCACAATAGGCCAGGGAGATCTCGTTGGACCCGGTATAGGGGCAAGTCCTGCAAGACGGCTGAAACTCCCACCAGGCTCTGTTGCACCTACGTGCGGTGCCATCGTCAGAATGCACAGGGAAATGCTGTGAAGCGGCCCAACACAGCCCGCCCAGCCCGGCCCCGGGTCTTGCAGGAGGCGTGCGGCGCCAGCAGCTCGAAGGCCGCGCGGCTCAGGATCGCCGCGCCCGCGCTGAGGCAGGGCCGGTCGAAGTCGTAGACCTGCAATGCCCGACGCCTCTCCGCCCGACCCCCGCCCTGCTCCTGTGATGATCAGCTCAGCCTCGGTGTCGGAGAGAACCTAGGCGCCAAACTGAGCAAAGAGCGAAGCGAGCACTGATCGCAGGGAGATCGCAGTGGTCTGTGGTGCGGCGAGCGGCGTGCGTGAACATCACGGGGTGCTGGTCTTTGGACGCGTGGCCGGCCAAGAAGTAATAGAGCCGTGCAAGGTTTACATACACGTCGTCTTCGAGGACCACGATCCAGCGTGTATCCGGAGGGAGGCCACCGGGCTGCTGCAGGGTACGGACTTGGTTCATCCAGATCATGAGACCTTGGATGTGGCAGGACCTGCATCTGGAATGGACTCGCGATTGGAAGCATTACATGCCCCTGCAAACTCACATTACATCATTACATACTCTGCAGATCTCTGCAGACGCGGGACGGGATACAGCAACACCGTCGCGATGTCCTCGGTCATGCGAATGGAATCACATCTTTGAAGCAAGAAGTACCAAATCGGACCCTCTGCTCATGCCATGATTCGACGCGGACCCGGCGTGCCATCGTTCATCACCACCTGGGAGCACACAACTGTGCATGAAAGCTTCGGTGCTGCGAAATCTCATTCCCCGCGCGCCTGGCAGCTCATGGGAATGCCTGTCCAAATGGGGGCGGTACACATCGGAAAAGAGTGGCGATGCGCCTACGTAGAATTCTGGGGCCGACCTGGTATGAGGGCATCCACCAAATAGATCCGGTTGGCTGCCTTGCTGCCGCATGTTCTGCACTCATCGTGCAGCGCTGCTGGGCTGCTCATAGCCATCAAAGGTGTGACACCGGAGCACTCGCGCATCATTGCAGCCGGGGGGACAGCATGCATCCAGGTTCTCTCCATGCGAATCGCGTACTCGGCCCTGCACAGGACTCGCATGCTCTTGCAAGTCCTGCGATCATCCGAACTGATGCTCCAACCCGTACAGAGCCATTCAAGGAATCCAATACGCTCGGAAGGCCGGATTCATGATTCCTGGACATTCCTGGACCCTGCAGCTGTGGCATCTGTGCCCACACGGAGCTTCGAGCATCTTTGAGCTGTAGAACTATCAGCTTAGCTCGAACTGAGCAGGTCCAGGGCAACAGAAGTTAGCCCAAGACGACACGCAAAATCCTGCAACTAAAACAGGAAGCCTCAGTGCCGCGGTCACAGAGCCCAATAAGCAAAGCCTGCAATTTTCCCACCTCTCCATGGAGGCGACCGCCACGAAGTAGACGTGTCGCATGCCCAGTTCCTGCAGCCGCGAGGAGAATGAAAACTAGGGTGCAACAACCGCCAGGGCCCAAGGACGGACAGGCCTTGCCTTGCGTCAGTGAGGGCAGTTTGGGGCACACAGTTGTTGGGAGTAGCTCTGCAGTGGCAGCAAACTCATGAACTGAACTGAATGATTCCTCCCAAAAACAAGACAGAAACACACGCGCCACACACACACACACAGCCGCCGAGGGTTTGCTGTCTTCATAAGTCTAGCGGCTGGCGGTAACAGCACAAGAAACATGAAAGCCCTGGCTGTGCTTGCAACGCGCCTCACCGCAAATACAAAGAACCACAAACTACCCTGGTTGCAACCAACCACACGGGCCATTGTTACTGGATTCTCATGGCTACAGCTCAGGAAATTAGGTGATCCCACAACAACATCAAAACCCAAGTTGAATCCTTGTCCACGCGCAGCGGCGCTCCCAGCGACTCCTGCTGCACCAGGTTCACATAGTCAGCGAGGGACCAGAAGCCTCCGTAGGAACTGACAAATGGACCGAGGGTGGAGGGAGGGGGGGCGGGGTCCGCCAGAGTCAGAACCACCCCAAAAATGATACCCTCTTTTTGCAGCCCTGCGGCGCTCGAACCTGGCACCAGCACTCCAGAAACAGCTCCTTCCAGGCGGCGAAGGTATCAAGTCTTCGCTCAAGACTGACTCGATGCTGAGTGCAATCCAACTCCAATGTTTTGCATCGCAGTTGCCTTTGTCATGTGTTGTATCAGCTGGAGAAATAGGAGACCCTCGTACCCTAAATAGTAGGATCTTTACTATAAGGATGTACCCCTAATAGGACTGAGCCTTTGTTTTGGCGACTCCGAGTCCATCCTGTACGGGCGATGCCATCGGAACACTGGCAGCCTTGAAGGTGACGGCGTGGACGACTAGGGCGACTGTAGGCTGAGGCTCGCAGTCTTCGGACGCTCCTGTTCTGCTCGGCGGAGCGGCCCGCGGCTAGAGCGATGCTCAGGAGCAGCCGCAGACCCGGCGGAAGCATGGCTTCAGGGATTCAGGGTGGAGTTGGCTGTGGCTGTGGGGCGTCCTTTCGGACAGAATTGTGGGGCTTTGGGTTTTAAAAGTGAAGAAGAACCGTGTCCATTTGCAGCATGAACATAACTTGTTTGCGGTTGTTAGGTCTTCCCACGTTCGCTCCCGCTGGCACTTGTCGCTTGGACTCCGATTGAATTCGTATCTCCAGGCAGGACTGTACAAGGGGTTCTGATCTGGAGTCGCAGCTTCAGTCGTGAACGGCACATCGGGAATTGCCCTCTTGATCTCGACACCTGAACCCACAACCCGAGAGCACTCCTCAGAACTAGCCTGCGATGATTTGACGTTCATATGTCGAATTTTCTTAAGGGATCCTTAAATTTCACGCCCTGCAGCGTGAAACTTGATTATGCCATTGTTGCGCTATCTGCTTCTTAATAGCATGAATATGCGTCTGAGTATCCATGTTTATGGTCTTGGTCGCTTCTGGTAGAGCTGTTGTGAAGACCCTGCTATCCGTCACAATTTCTGGATGCCTTCCAGTATAAACTGACTCTACACGGTCCCAACTACGCATGTCAAAGTACATCAATTACATAAAGAAACCGAAAGCGGAGCTCAGTCTGACCCAACACAGGCTGCGACGCGTCCGGTGCCATCACGGACACCTCAGTGGAAAGCTGGCGTCTTGGCAAGAGGAACGGCAGCAGAAAAATCAATGATTAAGAATAACGAGTACCAACACCAAAAAATCGAAGCGATCACCTTACATCGCAGCTCGCTGCTAGCTCTTGGCAATTACCATGCGCATCCATGCGCTGCATGTGAGGTGGCATGGCTTACGCCTTCAGGAGCTGAGCTCCGGACCGAACAACCACATGTGGCAAGCACCAGGAGACACAATAATATTTGTGCGGCTTGGGTCTAGGTGGTTGCACCTCTAGTGGAGGCATGGGCATAGGTGGTTGAGCATGTGGTGCAAGCGGAATGCAGGGGGTCACACTTCAAAGGATTTTGGCTGATTGAGACCAGTGCGTGTACGCAAGATTTAACAACACGTCGACACAACTTGGTCAAGCAAGTGTCGAGGAGATCAATTTTTCTTGTCTCAGGCATGGATCAGGTGGACAGCCCTGCGGCAGTGCCACCTGTCGCGCAGTCCATTGCCCCAGCTGCTCGCATCCTGCAGCTGCCCTCCCGGTAGTACAGCCGTCCTTGCTGTGGCGCACGTTCCGGGGATGCAGAGCAGCAGTGGCGGGAGAATCAACCGCAAATGCGAGAACGTTCGAGACAGATCTGGCGTGAGCTGAGACGCAACTTTCGCTGTTCAAGGGAACTTCCACGAAGGTCGCCGCCTGCCTGCTACTTTGGCTAAACGCTCTGCGACTGCGGTGTGAGACCGAGGCATTTACGTCATTAAACTCACAGTGCTGATAGCTGATCGAAGCTCAGCCCTGCTTCGGCCAAGCCAGGCCGTGGGCCCGTGGGAGCACCCCAACCGTGTGTTTGATCTTCTGACAGGTCCCGAGGAAAGGAGAACTTGAGATGGGCACTTGGTCTACGAAAAAAGCCCCGACTGGCCCGGACAAGGCTCCAGGAAGATAATGGAACTGCTACAGCTGTTACAGCTTGCTCCGACTCCGCTCAGCTGGGCAGTTTTGCCAGATCGCGCATCAAGGGTAGACAGTGGCGTTGTGCGAACGCTCGCCGTGATAGTGCCTCGTGATTGCCAAGCACGCCGACTTCCAGCTCCGGAACATGGTTCTTGACTGCAGTTATAGTACGACATACCCCTCAAAAACTTCTTCCATTTATGAAGGCCCGCTATGGCTTTGATGACCTGAGGGCTGCACGCCTTTCCACAGCTCACTTCTGCATGATCACCCTGAGCGCGGAGCACGGGTCGGGAACTACTGCGGATTCGCACCCGTTCAGCGTAGGGATTTCAGGGCTTGCAGGGCCTGCATGGTCCGCCACATCAAGCGAAAGTTATCCGAATTCATGTTGAGCAAGCTACGATAGGGTGCCTGTTGGAAGCGATCCACGGCAATCGCAGAGGCAGGCCAGCAGTTTCGGGACCCCTATCTCCAAGAGTCTGTCATGTGTCGGTGCTGCCATGCATCAGCCCCCCAAGCAAGCTAAACTCAACATCCGACAGCAAAGTCAAGAATAAGGATCCTCGGAAAACGAAAAAAGTTGTCAGAATTGTGAATCGCTATAGGCATCCCGCCATGCGCCGCGAGGGCGAGTTGCTTCGGCTGCCCGTCGGAACGATGCCTGGAGCTTCTTCTAGGGCGGACTCTGCTGAACATGTGCATTCCAGTATGTGCAAGAACTTTCGAAGGCATCAACTTGGGCGTCCTCCGGAGACCATGGGAACAGCCGCCGTTATCGGAGCCACCATCGGAGGGCTCGCCTGAAATCAAAGGATTCTGCATGCGATAAGGCAGAGCTGCAGACTGGGATCTAGTGCTTCCGTGCCACAACGCAGTAGGTTTGCGTCGTCGTCACTGGCGCGGCCACTGCGGGATAGGTCCGTGTCCTGGGATGCACAGCCGCTTCGAGGTGGATCAGAAAAAGGCACCGGTCCCAGAACCGAGGGCCCTGCGACACGGTGATCCTTTCATGCGCAGCCGTCCTGAGCTCAAGAGGGTGGGAGCCCTGCAAAGTTTGAACAGTTTTCCTTGCTGACAAGTGGCGGGAGGACTTGGGGTATCGGAGAGCCTTGCCTCACCTGCCAGCAGCCACACTCCGTGGACACTCGCTCTCGCCACCACAGCCTGGCAGCCCGGGGCCTGGGGATAGCCCTTGTAGACCATGACGGGCGTGCTCGTTCCGGATTGCACGGACCTCGTCACGGAACGGTGGTGGGATCGCGGCGCGAACTCTCCTCCGAGGTGTCTCCAGGGCTCCGGGCCGCACGGAGGGGCTGCTGACCAGGCCGGGCAGGGAGGGACCGGAGCGGGAGCGGTTCGGCCTGGCTCAGCTTCCCACGCTTGGACTTGTCGGACGGTCACCATGTCTGCTTCGTCGGTACCGCGAAAGCGTTACACTGCATGTTCTCTGTGGCCTGAAGCGGATCTCCGTTCCGTCGACCTGGCATGGCCGGCATGACCCAGCAAGAACAAACTCCGAGTTTCCTGTCCTACAGGCCACAGACTGGCGGCTGCCGACGCAGCATGTGCCTCGCCAATCTCTTCCACGTCACTTCCTTCCTGAACGGCAGGGTACTGTACCCACTTTGGACGGATCTACCACCGGGAGACCTCAGGCCTCTCAGAAGCCGAGTATAGACTTCATTTCTACAAAGCGACTGCAGCATGGGATGTCGGGCCACGCCTTCATCTTCGATGAGAGGTCATGAGTGTGGCCGTCGACGGCCTCCTGACCACCAGTCTAACTTTGCAACTTTGCTTGACTATCTGCGGCAGCGACAATGGCAACTTGCAAGGCTAAGCCGAGGCAAGCAGCGCAGTGATCGGCTGGAGCCAGCTCAACATCACACCATGCCAACAGCTGAGATCCATTTCACTGCACTTCTTGGGTGCAGGCCCAGACACGCTGCATCTCCAGTCCCCTCTCTTCGATCTCCTGCCGGCAAAATCGCATCTCAAGATCGCATGTTTCGTGTGGAGTCTTGACAGTATAAGCATGTTGGAGCAGCTTTGCGACATCGAGCGAAGCAATCGGAGCTGCTCGCCGCGCCTTGCGCATCAAAGTGTCGAAGATTCCCACCTGCCATGCAACGGAAAGTCACCACTGAAAGGGACCGCTAGTCCGGCTGACAGTAAGCCGCGACACGTCTAAACAGATGGAACAGGATGGACAGCAGACTTCGGCAAAGCCCTTGAGCCCACTTCAACGCCCCTGAACCCAGCTGCGGTCACCGTTCGCTGCAGCGAATCCACCTCAGCTGGAAAGCCCGCGACATTCTCCCGCTCTCCGAGGTAAGGTACCGAAAGCATCCGAAAGCTTGAAAAGCTCAGCACGGCGCCCGTTCGCCGATGGTCTCGTGGTGCCGGCTTCGCTCGTGGGTCTCCTTCTGAAGGAGCTCCTCAGAACCCGCCCATTCCGCTAAAAGAGCCTCTTCCCAAACCTTCTAACGTATATCTTCTATCCTACAGTTGAGGTCGCCGAGAAGAAGGCGCGAACCAAAGCCACACGCGTCCCAGGTCCTCTATCTGTTGCCTGGCAGCCCTCTCTTTGCTGATCAGGTCCTCGTGCAGAGAGCGCGGATTTGGCGATCGGAGGTGGGCAAGTTTGGGTACTGCAAGCCGGAAGCTTCCAGCATGAGCGACTGCTGCTTTTTGAGGACGGCCGAACGTTCAAGGATGCAGCTTGCCAACGTCTGTATCAGAACGGTATAGTCCCGCCCATGCTCACTGCTGTCCCTTGATCCGAGGCACCGTGTGGATCTCGTGGTGCTGGCCCCTCGCGTCCTTCTCCTGCTTCACCAGCGCCTGCGCGCGTGGAAGTCCGAATGTCCACACAGCATGTAAGGAGTTGCAGGTGCACGCGTTGCACGGCGTCTTCTTGCTCTACACTCTGATGTGGCCCCAGGCTGCTTGCATTGCATCAACAGCAGAATCCCTAATGCTGCAAGCGGACGGCCCACCTCTACGTGCTCCACATGGCGCTCACGAGCCATCCGCTCGTGACCAAACTGCTCTTGCACGCGCTTCTCGTGCGACTGCGAGGGGCGAGGGCTCAAGGCTTCAGATGCCTTGGACCTACGTCAGCCTTCCCGGCACTTCCAAGGCCTCCATCGTCTGCCTGTGGTTGGCCATGTGGTGGGCGACGGCCTCCTCGAGCGCCTCACCCGCTGAAAGGGAGTTGAGCATTGCAAGGCCCTTTAGCCTCCAGCTTTGCTTTGTCAGACTTGTTCCACATTGGACGTGAGTGTCGGGGCGGAGCAAGCCTTTCCGACTAGACGTTTTCAACGTTGTTGGGCCGCTGTGTAGAGAAAGCCCTCTGTTGCCCTTCTCTTCCTTCCTCCTCCGTCCTTGCCGCCTGGACACCCACCTCGCTGGTCGGGACCAGACGGGCCCTATGTGCCAAGTTTGCAATGATCTAGCTGGATAGTGCAATCCAAGGAAGCTCCTCATGAAGAAGAGAGGCCTCCAGACATTCCGTGCTGTGCATCCAGAAATTGCTGCGTGACAATCTGCATTGAAGATTTTGGACTACTTGATGCCACTTGTCAATTCCGAACACCCAAGCATCAGTCATGAAACCAAGCAAGAAGTACAATTTGAGTATGGCCACAAGTAACAAGTACACTATCTATTGATTTATCTAACTATCTATCCAGACCCCTCGCCTCCCTGGCCCGCTTCTCGCTCTCCAAGTGCTCGCTGATGGCTTCGCCCTGCAACTGGCGGGTGGGAAGAGGCTCGTACGGGCGAACGGCCCTCAAACCCAAGACCGAGACCCACCGCCCGAAAAAGGCAAAGGGAAATAAAGCTCCCCCAATCGGAAGTCCGGCATTCCATGAGGCCTCTGCCTACACGCAGTCTCCCCAAACCAGAATTCTTGCCCGTGCCTGGCGCGTGCGCGTGCTGCGCTCCGAGTGGATCTGGGTTCGCAGGTCCTCCAGCTTCCTCAGGAGAGCAATAGAGTAACAACATGACTGCAGTGATCGCAGCACGACCCTGAACCCTTGGCATGGTCATCATCATCGTCGTCATCATTATCGTTATCTTCATGGCAGTTGATCCTGGGAAGGACATGGCGTCCCGGTTTTGGGATTGTCGGCTTGGCAATGCAATGCTTTCTGCCTCGACACTTCCCAGCCGACTCTGCGAGACTCTCCGAGGGGGTCACAACAAGACCCGGAGCCCCGAAGCAAAACCCAGACAAACGAAACAACCCTGGCGACGAAATCCACGCCAAGCAGCCCTTCGAGCCGGCTGTCGGCGCTGGAGCCCTGAGGTTGCCAGGGTAGCTGCAAAGGATGACAGAGGCTTGCTTGTGGTTGTGCAGAATTTCTGCAAGTCTGCTTGGTGAAGTGCCTGATGTCCTGGTTGCCTTGACGACGTTGCACCAGGGCCCTGGTTTTGGGAAAACTACTACGCCAAGACTCATTCTCCCCTTCGGACAACACATCAAGGTTCCTTCTACACCACCTCAATTGATGAATCGGTTTTTGTGTTGGCAGAAGCACAATGGCGGAGGGGGGCTGCAGGGCCCAAAACTGTACGTCACTCCAAAGAGGCCCTGAATTTGGCCCTAAATATGATCTAGGAAAACCCCCCTTCTAGGAAAAAACCCATGGCATTCCCGTCTGCTTCGCTGGGGGCTGGGCGTGCTTCTCCTTGGACTCACCCAGGTAAGTCTCCAAGAAATTCAGCCTCTCCTGATGCTTGTTGCTCCTATTGCGCACTATGGTATAATATTGAACTTAGATATATACTCACAGATAAAAACCATACATATATATATATATATATATATATGTATCTATTGTATTCTTGCACAGGAGGCCAAGTCGTCCTAGAGGTGGATGGTGACATCTATGAAACGGGGAAGACTGAGTAGAACGACAGCGACGAAGACAGTCGCCACAGGAAATCCACAATCATCGCAACAACAATAGCATATTACAAAAACAGAAGCTCAACAGCGTGAGGCAGATTGCACGCGGGGTGGGTGTCTTTTCCCCTCCTCCAGCGAGTAGTGTTTGGCACGATTCTGGCTTTGCTCCTGCCGGCAAATGGGAAGGGAAAGGAGTCCTGCACTCCTTTCCACCCACTCTGCACCGGGACTCAGGTTTGCAAACCGCCAACCTGCTGTTCCACTCCCAGCCGGCTGTGCAGCGATTCCACCTTGCCTGAGACGAAGACGGAAGGTTCTTGCATCCTTCTTCTTCGTAGCTACGCTGATTACGACGCATGTTGGTGCTGAAACTAGCAGTCCAGCAGAAAACTTGTTTCATAAAAGAATCGTGGTACTTATCCGTTCATGCAAGCTGCTAGTATTGCGGTTCACACGACTAGCAAGTAGTCACCCACTCAGCAAAAGTCTCGTTCGGACTCTCACTGTCAGCACTGCTGTCAAGATTGCTCCAACCTCGAACTTATTCGACACAAGTGGCTTCTAGTGGTGGCCAACTCCGCACTGTGTCGGTCGGCAGAGTCGCCCAGCGCCTGGGATTTCAAAGTGAATTGTGAACTTGGTGACATCCTTGGAGGCTGGATAATAGACATTATGCAGAAATAATGTAGAGATATATGGCATATGAAAAGATGTATACACACAGGTACACAAAGACACACACACACACACTGTCAAAGCAAGCATCTCTCACCAACCCTGCGCCATCCTCCAAATTTTGCGAAGACACTTCACGGGCTTGTAATCCGTCATATGAAATAGATGGTATATACTAAAGCATATAATCCATAATATACATACCTGTGTATGATATATATATATATATATGTATATGTATATGTGTATATATATATACATACATATATACATATATACATATATAGATATATGTATATGTATAACTTGTATAACGCACGGGGCGCCTTCTCCAGGTAGCCGACTCGTTCGGCCAGGGAGGCGTGGTGCTCTTCCAGTGCGGCCTCGCCGAAGTCAGGCGCTGTTTTTTCGACGCGGGGGATCCCTTGAAAAGCGATGCAAATGCCACGGATGCTTGAATGTGTCAGCTTTTGCTTGCTGGAATCTGACGTGTGTGTGTACGTTGTAGCAGCTTCTATCGGGGGCTGTTCGGAGCCCAGCGGGCGAAAGGGAGCTGCCGCACCTTGCCACCGGCCATGGTGTTCTGGGCCTTCTTCAGCGAGTCGACTTGCTCTCCCTGCACCTGCAACGAAGGCCCGCAAGTTGTCAAATCCTCACGCCGCGGTTCAAAGTTCAAACCACTCTCCCAGGCACCTCACACTTGGAAACGCGAGCATGCATGTCGTCCAGCTTTGCTCTGGCATCTGCCAGCTCCTGTGAAGCCATGCTGAATGCTCATGATCCATAGGCCATGGGCTGTCCGAAAACCCCATCATCCTGGGCGTGCTTGGAAGCAGAGTCGCCCAGCAACTGCTCGATGTACTGGAGTCGCTCGGTCAACCTGGGCAGTGAAGGCTCCCCAAAAGCTGTAGGCGGCAGCAGTCCCGGATCCTTCCCTCAGACCTCTGCGTGTCTTTGCCAAGGAACGACGAGTGGGCTGTCTCCTTGCTCTTGGAATCGGTGACAAGCTTCGCGTGCGATGCTCGAAGCTCGGCCAACGCCTCCCCAGGGTCCGGCAAAAATCCAATACTGCTGTGGGACAGACTAGCGACGAGCACTCTTGAATCTTGATCACCACTGGCCTTGCCGTGCTTGTCCGCATTGTCTCCGATGGAAGATTCAAGGAATTCCACTCGCTCCCTCATGATCAGATGCCGGTTCTCAACGCTGCGCACTTGGCACGCTCCCATGAGCTATGGCCTCAGCGATGCGTGGACGGCATCCTGCTGTGCTTTTTGGCCTCAGTCGGAATGCGTTCCTGCGGCTCTTCCCGAAGATAAGACTACGAAAGTCAAGCTGAGAAATCAAATCAAACTGATGTGACCATCGCCATCTCGACTAACATCCCCGTGTCCTTACACCACAATTTCAATCGAAGCAACCTCCCTTCCAGCGTCCATCCCGAACTGTATCTGTAGCTTAAATCGTACGTATGACTCCCCAAAGCAGGTTCAGACATCGCAGTTCGCTCCTGAAGCACAGGGATGCACAGGGCCCGGACTTTGCAGACTGTTATGAGCCTTGTGCAGCGTGTCCAACGAGGCGGCGTGAGCCTGATCACTCATCGCATGGCTCCCACGCTAGATCCCACTTCAAATCAAACACGGGCCGCAGGCGGAACTCGAACATCGTCGAAGAGGCACAAAGAAAAGAATCCTGCCCACCGCACGCCTCGCGGGCGGTGCGCTCGTCGGTAACCCGGCTGTGCCTTCGGAGAAACTCACGACACGGCGCCGAAGGAACGGAATAACCAACTGGTGACCAAGAAACTTCAGCAGACTCTAGCACAGGCATGCAGGTACTGCAAGCGGTCTTCCACGACAGCGCAACTCTGCGATAGTCCTCAACTCCCCTGCAGCCCAGAAGCGCAGCGTCCACCTTGGCCCCAGTCGAAGCGAGCTCCTGCAGACACCCGTCAAGGGAAGGTTCCACAGGAGGACTTCGAGTCCAGCTGACCATTGAGAGGGGGCTCCGCAAGAGGCAAGCGACAACTCACGGGGACCGCTCTCCGCTCTCCTTCTCCAGGGCGTTCACGCGCTCGTTGAGCGTGGCGTGATGCTCCTCGAGCTTCTCTTCCAGCTTGGCCTGGCTCGGGCCACATATCAATGCTTTCTGCAATGATGGAGCGTATGTTGGCGTATGTCTCAAAGCCGCACCTTGTTGCCGGACATCGTCGCATGCGACTTCTTCAGCGAGTCGATGTGCTCTCCGTGGACCTGGCGACACTTGCGATAGCAAGCGAATGCTGGCCCGGGGCCCTCGCCCCGCCTCGCACTGCGACACTCGCGCATGCATGTCGCCCAGCTTAGCCCGGGCATCCGCCAGCTCCTGACTCTCTCACTTTGGCTTCCTACTGGTATCAGAGCATAGAAGAGCTCTGTTCCTGGGCATGCTTGGCCAAGGAGTCGCCAATCGTCTGCTCGACGTACTGCAGTCGCTCTGACAACCTGACATCAGCAACCCAACAGTACGACATAAATGCATCATCCTTCTAGAGTGATGTGCAGACCTGTAGTGATTAGTTAGAGTCAACCAACCGCTTGCTTCAACTTCTCGTGCCGGTCTGTCTTGGTCATCCTACTACAGTCGCCTCAATGCAGTCCAGGCGTTTTGTAGCAAGCACAGCGCTGAAGAGCCGGCCACAAACTTATGAGCATTCCAAGATATTCCAAGCCATTGCAGCTAACATGCCAGGCATGCGATGCGTGGATCGACTCCTGGGGGAGGAACCCTTTAATGATGCAAACACGTGCTTCGCTTCCTGCTTCCCATTTGGGCAGGGAGCTTCGAACCTCCTCAATCTAAGAAGGCCGGCGGCTACCTGCACGGGTTGTCTTGCGTCGGATGGTGTATGATGTGGTGCGACCTCATCACTTTAAGCCCTCGGATGCCCGAAAGAAGCCGAGGCGATGCGATGCCAAAGGCAAGGAGACAAAACTCGGAGGCTGTCCTTGCCGCTGAGGATCTTGGCATGAGAAGCTTTGAGCTCGGCAAGCGCCTGGTCCGGGACTGGCTTCGGATTCAGGAGAGGGACTGACTCTCCTGTTCGAGTCTTATTATTCGGGAGGTCAGAGCTTCGACTCCTATTCAACGCTCGATCTGTGTGCTGGCAGTCTAGATGCCTCGCCCTGGGGCTGTCTTCTTTCAATGAACTCATGCTGAAAACACCACCGATTGCACTAGCTGAAGTGAGGAGGTCCCTGAAACCCGATTCATCCCGATTCCCGTCCTTGCCATGCTTGTCGGCATTATCCCCAAGCGAAGACTCCAGGAACTCCACGCGTTCCCTGGCAAGGTCAGGCGGGTGTCTCGAACTGTTCTCGAAAGCACTCTGGGCAGCACAAACCCGTTGATTCAGGGTTTGTGGTCTATACATTTCCTACAGGGTGTTGAGACGCGAGCCTGTCAGGCTTGAGCAGGCAAAAGTCAGAGAAGTCTACGCACGTTGGTCTTCTACCCCGCCCAAGAACCGGACCGTCCCCCAAACTAAAGCTTACCAGGACCCAAGAGCCTGCCCTGCGCTGCCAACCCTGAACCTTGGACCCAGCCCTACATCGCAACACGCGAACTCTGCACCTCAGAGACGCATGCGTGACATCCTGCTGAGCCTTCTGGCCTCAGGCACAAGTGTTGAGGCTCTCAGGAGACCCTCAATGGGACTTGAGGCGTTGACATGAAGAATGGTGGATGCATCTTTTTTTGTTGCTACTGACAGCGATTCGTAGCTACAAGCAAGGCAATTACTGGTAGCAGGAATGGCAGGCGTCATGATCACCGTGATTCCCCGTGGTATCCTACGGCTCCTCTGCAACAGGATCGCAGCTAGTGCATATAACACAGTCACCAACACCATACCAAGCACAACAAGGATGATGAAGATAGTGATGATGATGGTGGTGATGATGGTGGTGATGTTGATGATCATGATGATGATGATGATGATGATGACGGTGATGATGATGATGATGATGCTGACGATGATGATCATGACGATGATGGTGATGACGATGATGGTGATGATGACAAAGACGATGACAATGGCGCTGATGCTGATGATGATGATGATACGGTGCAAATCACAAGGATGACACTGACAATGTTACTGATGACGATGATGATGATGATGGTGGTGGTGGTGATGCTGGCTTACCCAGTAAAATCACACTCAGAAGCCGAGATCCTTTCTGCTGAGCGTGCCTTGCACCTGCCAGTTGCGAATATGGGGCATCAGCCTGTATCCTCAAATACATATACTATGACCTATACATATGCAATGTACACATTGACATACAGATGTTCACACGTCTCTAGGTGTGTGCACGTGTGTATGTATACATGTATACTTATATATATATATATATACACATATATATATACATATATGCACATGCTATGCATGCATACATGCATACCTAGAGCGAAAGAGAGACGACGACATCGAACCTATGCAAGTAAACCTACACATAGAACCACATAGGCAACTACACACACACATATACATGCAGACGCACATACATGCATGATAGGATCGAAATACGCAGGGTCGGCCGGGGGACACCCTTTCGGACCCTGTTTGGTGGGTCCGAAAGGGTGGTTCCCAGGGTCTCCCGTAGATCTGGCCGGACCCTTTCGGACCCACCCATTCGGACCCTGCTGGTAGTCATTGAGTCTGCGTCGGGCTCGGCTTGAATTTGGGTATGGCTCAACATAGTTTTCATGATATTCAGCATGGTTTCCGCATATATTTTTCCAGCACCCACGCAGAAGTTCACAGAAGTAGCAGGCAGCGGGCCTCGGGACAAGGCGCACACTCAAGCTTCCCAGGCCGTGGTTGTTTGCTCGGGTTCCTACCTAAGTTCGCGGGGCCTGCGCAAAAGCATCCAGAAACTCAAAATCCAGAATCCTTGGAAGAGCCCCTGAACCCATAAACCCCGAAACCCAGAAATTATTAACCCTTATGTCGCTTATGTCCCGCAGTAACCCAAAACCCCAAACGCAGAAACCCTAAACCCAGAAAGCCCTTGAACCCAGATACCCACCAAGCCCCCAAACGCAGAAGCATTGTACCCAAGCGCCTGAACTCAGAAACTGAAAACCCAAAACCACTGAACAGAGGAACCGCTGAACCCAGAAACCCTACACCCAGAATCCCAGAAACCCTGAGCCCATATCCCAGAAACCCTAAACCCAGAATCCCAGAAACCCTGAGCCCATAGCCCAGAAACCCTAAACCCAGAAACCCAAAACCTTGTGCTCCAAACCCTTGAACTCAGAAGCTAACAACCAAGAACACCTAAACCCAGAAGTTCTGAACCCCCAAATCTGCGAGTAAGCCCAGAAACCCTGCACGCAGAAACCCTAAACCCAGAAAACTCCTGAAGCCAGAAATGCAGAACCCAGAAACCGCAAACCCCGGAAGCCGCAGACATCATAACCTGAAACCCAAAATCACCGAACCGAGAACCGCTGAACCCAGAAACCGCAAACACCCAAACACAGAAACCCTGTAGAACCCAGAATCCCTAAGCCCTTAAACCAAAACCTTAAACCCCTGGACGCTGCACCGAAGCACAATAGCGGCTTGAAGCAAGTCACATGTCGTGCTCGAATCGAGTGGCCGACATGCCGACGCCACAGGGGCGACGCCGGGCGTCGCAACAGGAATCCACCGAGCGGCGCCCGGCGTCACCCCGCTCCCACAGGTGTGGGCGACGCCGGGCGCCGCTCGGTGGATTCCTGTTGCGACGCCCGGCGTCGCCCCTGTGGCGTCGGCATGTCGGCCACTCGATTCGAGCACGACATGTGACTTGCTTCAAGCCGCTATTGTGCTTCGGTGCAGCGTCCAGGGGTTTAAGGTTTTGGTTTAAGGGCTTAGGGATTCTGGGTTCTACAGGGTTTCTGTGTTTGGGTGTTTGCGGTTTCTGGGTTCAGCGGTTCTCGGTTCGGTGATTTTGGGTTTCAGGTTATGATGTCTGCGGCTTCCGGGGTTTGCGGTTTCTGGGTTCTGCATTTCTGGCTTCAGGAGTTTTCTGGGTTTAGGGTTTCTGCGTGCAGGGTTTCTGGGCTTACTCGCAGATTTGGGGGTTCAGAACTTCTGGGTTTAGGTGTTCTGGGTTGTTAGCTTCTGAGTTCAAGGGTTTGGAGTACAAGGTTTTGGGTTTCTGGGTTTTGACACTCACACTCGGGCAAGCCTGGCGAGGTCTGTAGCGATTAAGGACGAACATACAGGATCAACTTCAAGCCGATTTCACTTGAAGCCAGGCTGTTCATGCCAGGGTTTCTGGGCTATGGGCTCAGGGTTTCTGGGATCTGGGTTTAAGGTTTCTGGGATATGGGCTCAGGGTTTCTGGGATTCTGGGTTTAGGGTTTCTGGGTTCAGCGGTTCCTCTGTTCAGTGGTTTTGGGTTTTCAGTTTCTGAGTTCAGGCGCTTGGGTACAATGCTTCTGCGTTTGGGGGCTTGGTGGGTATCTGGGTTCAAGGGCTTTCTGGGTTTAGGGTTTCTGCGCTTGGGGTTTTGGGTTACTGCGGGACATAAGCGACATAAGGGTTAAGAATTTCTGGGTTTAGGGGTTTGTGGGTTCAGGGGCTCTTCCAAGGATTCTGGATTTTGAGGTTTTTGGATGTCTCTGGATTTTGGTGTATAGGTTTCAGGGTTTAGGTTTTCAGGGTAAATGTTTTGTACCACTCGCCAGCACACCTATTCTCTCATATTCTATGACCCCCATACAAGGCACTCCGGGGGTCTACAAGGTATTTCAATGCCTAGTGCCCCCCCCCGTCAGCCACCCCCCAAAAGGCATTCTTTCGGTGCGGTGATACCGCAGGACTACCGCAGGCAAGTTGAATCTGGTTTTAACTGGCTTGCTTTTCTAATATCTGAGGTAGGGTCCGAATGGGTCGGGCGACCCTTTCGGACCCTGTTCCCAAGGGTACCCAGGGCCACCCTTCCGGACCCTGGATAAATCGAGGGTATCATGCATGCATACATACAGACACACGGGCAGGCAGGCAGGCATGCAGGCATGCATACATACAACACATCATGCAGAGGCAGACAGACAGACAGACAGACAGACAGACACACGTGCTTGTACTGTTTACATGGAAAGAATACATGTGCATCTGACTGTCGCCCAGGAGACAGGAACAGGCACTGACAGGCACAAGGAGCGCGAGAATGCGGACCACAAGAAATGAACCATCGAGACAAACTGCGCTTGACACATCGATTCTGTAAGTAGGATCCGATACTAACGCGGAAGGCCTGGCCTTGTCAAGGCCCTCTGCTAAAGCTTGGTGGTTCCTGGGAGGGCAAGGATGCTTTCCTGGAAGCCAACAAGACCTTCAGGCTGAGAGCGGGCACTGCGCTAAGCTCTGGGCTTGTCAAGCATCTGCTTCTCACCTTGGTTGATTCACAGGGATCTCCTTCGTCAACCCGGAAGAGTTCGGAACAGAGTCGACCACAAACCACCGGACCGGGGCCTGCGCTTAAAAGACTGCCATGGGCCTTCTTCAGGGTCTCCAACGAAGCCGCATGAGCCTCTCCGCGGCAGTTGTGGCTCGCGAACACACTTGAGCATGCAATGGCACGATGCAAGACCTGAGAGCATCAAGACTTTCATAATCAGTCTCGCCCCGCGAACACGACAATGCGCCACAGCCTCATCAGAAGTCTACCCTCAGAGTCTCCATCATCTGGCCTCCCGCGCGATGCGCTCGTCCGAGACTCGGCTATGCCTCAGCTGATTTCGGGGTGCATCCAGGGAAGAAGCCAAGAGTTTGGTGGAGTTCAAGCGCCAGATGCACCAAAGGGGCCATGTTGGCAAGCAGATGCACCCCGACGCTGTGCAGATGCAAAGATGCAGGCAAGTTGCGCAGCATCCACCTTCGCTGCGGTAGCTGCCAGCTCCTGCAACAGACGGAGCGCTAACTGCACAGCGTCACATGCAATGACTCAAGTTTGCTGCGCGCTAGTGCGTTGCAGCACATGCTTCAGACGTTCTCAAGCTCAACAGGGAGGGCAGCCGATCCGACCTTGGCGTGCTTGTCGAAGGAATCACCCATGGCCTTGGGCGAATGAGTGCTGCACCGGCGGAGAACCCGCCACAAAGAACCCCAAGCATCTGCTTCTCGCCTTCTCCAAGAAGTCCATGCGTTGGCTTAGAGAGGCATGGTGCTCCTCGAGCTTTTCATCGAGCTTTGCCTGCCAGGAAAAGCAGAAAAGCCCAGAGCAAGGGTTTTCAATTCAAGGACATCGAGGGCTTCAGAGCTTCAGACGCGCCTTGCTGCCAGTGACGGTGCTGTGAATGGTGCTGTGAGACTTCTTGAGAGCATCGATGTGCTCGCCGTGCGCCTGTCTTGTGCTTGGTGGCATCTCACAGGAGGACTGCAAAATGTCCCCCGACCGCCGCGAACCTCGCAGCCGGAAACTCGCGCATGCATGTCGTCCAGCTTGGCCCTTGCATCTGCCAGCTCCTGCATGAAGCCCAGCATCCCCCAAAAGGCTTCGCCGTCCCCGCTTTTTGGATCACTGAGAGCAAGCGCCGCAAGCGCCTTCGCGTGCTTGCTCGCAGAGTCGCCGAGCATCTGCTCCACGTAGGCCAAACGCTCGGAGACCCTGTAAAGAGCAGAGTAGATGCGATACTAAAGAGCAGAGAGCGCTTCAGGAAGACTGCTATACTTTCGACACTGAGCCCCTGAATTCGCCAAGATGCGAAGCATGGTTCGACTTCGCATCGCTGGCCATCTTCGAGTGGAGATCTGCCAGTGCCTGACAGACCGTGCGATTGACAGCGCGTTGCGATGCTGATGCCGCCGGGGTGGGGTGCAGCGGCGGTCCCAGGGCTTCTACAATGCCTGCGAGAACCGCCAGGGTCAAGCCCAGATCTCCATCCTGCACGTCGCCTTGCTGTGTTTGTCGGCGTTGTCGCCCATGGTGGACTCCAGGAACTCCACCCGCTCCCTGGCGATGCACTGCTCTCAGAGACAAAGGCACCTGCAATGCCTACAAAGAAAGGGTGCGCCTCAAGGATGCATGGGTGACATCCTGCTGCGCCTTCTGACCTGAGGACAAGATGGCAGACCAACCGGGTGCTTTAGCACTCCAAGTCCTATAGCCGCCACCGCTACCGTTTCAACTCTGTCGGTGCTTCTGTGCGACACGAGTATCTTACACATCCGCCACTGGAACCCGTGGACTGCGTGCAGACAACTGGGGCCCCTTCTGGTGAGCGCATTGTGGACCTCTCGGCTCGGAAGGTGCCCTGTCCGCCCTTATCCCTCGAAGGTTCTAGTGCCCCCCCGCCTTCTCCACGCGATCAACCAGGTTGGCGTGGTTCCTTTCAGGACAGGGAACGTGCCCTGTGAGCTGCCGTGGGCCTTCGCACGTGAGAGGCTCAGGCTGCTCCAGCGCTTGCTTCTCACCTCGGTCCGTAGGAGACCACTACTTTGCAGCCCAAGCTTGCGAAGCCTGGCCCGTCAAACACTCGAAGTGACCAACAGGTTGGAGGAAGCAGCAGCACTGGGTCACGAAAATGCTTCACGGGTTGCATGTGCAGGCTGCTGGGCTCGCAGACTTTGCAGATTGCTGTGGGCCTTCTTCAGTGTCTCCAGCGAGGCACCATGGGCCTGCCCAGATTGCGGCCGGTGCTAGTTGCCTTGGCTTCTCCTCTCTCGTCATGTCGATGCAGACTTTTCAACGGGGCTGACTAGGAACAAGGCTGACTAGAAGCGCAGGCGAAGATGAGCGGTGAAGCACGGCCTTATCGTGCTTCTCGAAGGAGTCACCCATGGCCTCACAATGCAACAGCCCTCAAAGTCTCACAGAGGAAGCACCGAAAAGGGCAGAACCCGTGCAGGACCTTCTCCAAGAAGTCCAAACGTTGCTGCAGCGTCGCGTGGTGCTCCTCGAGCCGGGCCTGCGCGGAGAAACACTGCAACGCACCCGAATAACTTAAGCTCTTCGCCGAGACGAGCCATCCGACGGCGCAGCTCCGCCTTGCTGCCGTTGTGGTCCATCTTCAAGGAGTCGCCGTGGGCCTTCCAAAGCCAGAGAAGGAAAACGAGTACAAAAGAGTATCAAAGAGTGTAAAAGAGTGTATCAGAGTCCTTCGTGCCGGGGTTCTTAGTGCAGGGGCAGAAGCAGCCGTCAATTCACGTGCGTGTGCGCGCGCTGCGGGACAAATGACGGCCTCGCAGCCGGAGACTCGCACGTGCATTTCTTCCAACTTGGCCTTTGCGCTCTCAAGCTCCTGCACTGGAGGCTTCCCAGGGTGTTGGCGAAGCTCTGGTTGCCAAAAGAATGATAATACTGATACGAAGAGTCGTGCTATGAATCCAGTGACAACACACACAGACGACCAAACGCGATGAAAACGTGAAGGGGAGCACTACCGCTAACGTTAAAAAAGCAAATCTGCACTCAAGGCCAGCTACGGAGTTGAACATCAAGAACCATCAAGAAACCATCAAACACCAAAGCTCTTTGCGCAGGTGCTGCGAACAAACTTAATCACGAGTTCACACAAATGATGCCAACAATTATGTGCGTGACACTGGCAGCAATAACAATCCCAACAAGCTATTCTGGATGAACAAACACTCCGCCTGTCGGTGCTTGACACGATGTGTGCACGAGGCGTTGCAAGGATGCATAACCAGTAATACCTCTGATCATCGTGCAGACGAAATGCTGCGAAGGATGCCAAACTCTAGTTTCCATGGAGACTTTGCTGATAAGGCTATTCAGCAGCACGAACGATGTCCTGAGCCACAAATGACACTATCCACAATCACATCCTCAAATCTAACATCCTGCAAGCAGGAGCATGTTTGCTGTCCTGAGCATGTTTGCTCACGGAGTCACCGAGCAGCTGCTCGACGTACTGCAGTCGCTCCGCAAGCCTTCGATGCAAGGGTTCTGAATTTTACAGTACTGATGCCTCAAAGATCGGTCATGCAGGGGAAAGAGGAAAGCATTGCAAAGGAAAGCGTGATCTGCTTGCCAGTGAAGTGACAACAATGTGGCGAATGAGGCTACTCAGTGGCTGCCAGGGTACGACGCATGGCTGGACTTGGTGTCGCTCGTGATTTTCGCCTGCAGCTCTGCCAAGGCCTCAGAACGCTCGTGCGGTTTCGGTGTTTTTTCTTGGGTGGTCAGAGGAGTCATCATTTCAGAGCCACGAATGCTCGTAGCGCACACCAAGGAAGGGAACTTTCCAGCTCATGTAGGATGCCAGGTACGCACAAATGACTCTAAGAAGTAAGCCTAATATCAAAAAAAACTTGCAACACCACATGACAAACCACAGCAGAAGGCAGAAGGAGATCTTCGAAGCACTCACCCCACAAGGTGCCTTTCCATGCTTGTCGGCATGGTCTCCGACCTTGGCCGCCGTGGCCGCCAGCTCCTGGGCAGAGTGAGAGCTCAGGGAGAAACGGGCGAGCCGGCCCGAAGGACGATGAAACAGGAAGAACATGAAGCAAACCAGTACCATAATGCTCATCGCTGTTGACTACTTCGAAGATCCGGGAAGGTACGGTGAGAGGTTGTCGAGGTTTCTGAGGCAGTTGGGATGGCAAGACTGAGAAGCCTTCTCTTTGTTTGCTTGAGGAGGGTCCTTCCTGGACGACAAGTCATCTATGAGAAACGTGCGATATAGAGGCTCCGGAAGTCATCAATGTGGAGGCAGAAACGCCAGCCAAATGTTGCAACTTGCCAAGATGCTCGAAACAGGCAAGTGGTTTTTAGAGTGCGCGTGGTCGTGGCATGGTGCTTTTGAACAAGACTTCTCGGACGGTTTGGCTCTGACATGGTCATGTCTGCTTGGGGCTGTCTCCTGAAGCAAAAAGCACAGAGAAACCCTCTCCTTTTCGTGCTTCCCCAAGGAGTCGCCCATGAATTGCTCCAGGTACTCCATGCGATCTGTGAAGGGCATGTGGCCCTGGCACGGGACATTTTCATCGATGAGGGGCTGGGACGCAGTGATGTGAGGCTTCCAACCCTCCATGGGATTGGGGAGTGGCATATGCCAAAGTTGATGCTGGAACTATGGAAAGAACCGGAGACTACGAATGTCATAAGTAACAACAGTACGCTTCAAATCTTCACAAGCTGCCGCTGACCTTCGTGACGAAAGCCCTACTCCTCCAGCTGGGTCGATGGGCCTTCGCTTGCCGATCCGCAGAGCCGCCCATGAGCCTTTCGAGGTAGTCCACGCGATCCTGTCCGAACAACACCGGAAGCCGCGTACGATGTGCCAGTCTTCACAGACCCTCCTAACAGGCAATCAAAAGCTGGGTTGCTGTTAAGGAACTTATCTTAAGCTACTATGATGAGGAAGCCTTGTTATTATTTACTATTTATCCCCAAAATCGTAACATGAATTCAAGTTCCTTAACAGCAAGCCAGGAAAGCACTTGCACAGGAAGAGAGTCCCGGGAAAGGCCTGCACAGTCGAGTGCTGCTCACCTCGGCAAAGCTCGGGTTCGGTATTTGTTGGGTCTTTTCTTCGGCTCTCGGGCAGCGACCATGCCGCGACAGCTTCGCATGCAGGTCCTCGGAAGCTTTCACGCACGCATTGAGAGTGAATAGCGAAGGCTAAGGCGAGGCAACAAGATCATGTTGCCAGCACTGACACATACCATGACGGCAATGGACACAACAATGAAAATCCAGAGTACAGTGATAGCAAAAGTCACCAGCGTCAGAACTCTCCGGCCTGAATAGTGTGGTCGCGGGTAGCCTCCCGCGATTTGTCGCGAAGTGCCGCCAGGACAGCCGAACGCTGCGGACCCTGCCTTCTCGTCTTCGAGATGCTGGCGAAGAGCATGCTGATGCACCTGCCCATTCTAGAAAGTCATCTCCGAAACAGGATCTACCATGTGGGGAAATTGGGCAAGCAACAAGCTGCGCAGGAAAGGGTCCTGCAAATTGCCGTACTGCACACATCATGTATCGGCGGCGCTGTTGAATTCACGGCACACCAACCCCACATACCACAATGCGATCTCTCAAGTATGACCACCCCACAGTGAGCCCCTCGCGCAGAAACTCGAACCAACCCATGGACACAAAATCTACACCTCCTGGCCACTCCCCAAATCGAGCCTCGAGCTCCTGTGCGGCAGCACACTCTTGACTTTCGGGGGTTCAGGAACGTGGTTTGTAGTCGGGAATTCGTTTGGGACATTATTTTGAGACGACACATGTCATTTAGTGTAGCACAGAGCGCAACTCGAAATGAGCTCTTGCCATCAAGGTGCGGGTGAGCACGATAAGACGACCTCTTGAGTTCACCAGAAGGCGATGCTTGCTAAGAGAACTCTTGAAAAACCGTGCATGTCCTGTCGGCGGAAAATGAATTTGGACTGCTTCACGCATTGTGACTATGGGCCTTGTGGATGACAGTCGGGTGGCTTGCGCAAAATATCTGCAAAGTCTTAGTTGATTCAAGCTGGTGCCTCAGCCCATTCTAGAGTGAGACTTCACCTGGAATGCCTGTGTCAGAGCAGTCTGGTGCAGCACGTATTTCATGGTATTTCGCAGCAGGATGGAGCGACAGAAATCCCAACCTTGTGTCGACCAGCGTGCACGGCGAAGCCTCGACATAGCACATCGGTGCCCCGACAAGGGCGCTTGTGTTGCTTCTACTGCCCGGTTGCTTTGCTTCGTAGCTTTCAGAGATCTGAGCCGCAAGCTCCCGTCGAGCTCTGCAGTCTTCTGCTCCAGCTTCGCCAGTTTCTGCGAGGGGCTTTGGGTGACTTCTGTACGGTGAAGTGAAGCCCGGGTGGCCTCCACGTGCTTCAAGTGTGATGCCTGGATCTCCTGCTTCCAAGGCTGCTGCACCGTGCTTGGAAATCACCCTCTGAACTTGTCTGGGTCCTCGATGTGAGGATGCCAGGCTGTCTCCAGGACGCGGAGCTGCCAAGGCGAGATGGTTGGAGATCCGGGCCGCTGTGCGCACTTTTTGGACTTCGTAGCCGAAGCCTGCTCCTTCATGTAGCTAATCTGCTCGTGCAGCGATGGCATGTCCTGCTCCAACTCCGACACCTGCTGCAACAAAAAGGGCAAAATACAAGCAGGAAAGGCAAAAAGAGCAGCAGCAGCAGTAGTAGTAGCAGCAGCATAAGTAGCAGCAGCAGAAGCAGCAGCAGTGGCAGTGGCAGTGGGATTGGGAGTGGCAGTGGTAGTGGGAGTGGGAGTGGGAGTGGCAGTGGCAGTGGCAGTGGCAGCAGTATGCGGCGGTAGCAAAAGCAGCAGTGGTGGCCGCGGTAGTAGCAGCCGTAGGAGCAGTAGCTGTAGCAGAAGGAGTAGCAGCAGTAGTTTCAGCAGTAGCAGCAGTTGAGGCAGTGGTAGCAGTGGTATTAGTAGCAGTAGTAGTAGTAGTCGTCGTCACCCCCACCCCTCCTGCTATCCAGGAGACCAATGGCTATGGCAAGCGCTGGATCTTTAAGGCCTTGATCCTTGCATGCTAAGGCCTTGCTAAGAACTCCATCCTGGCAGCACTAGCACGGGCACCAATACGTAGTCGCACCCAAGCCAAGTCGTAGTCGTAGTGGCCCTCGCACTCATACTGGAACCGTGGCACTCCAGCAGCAGCACAGGAGCAGCAGAAGTACGGTAGCAAGCAGTCACACTTGACAAAGAGAGACCATCGTATACACAGTCGTAGTCCTACTAGTAGTAGAAGGTGCAGGTACCGAGGTGTTTCAATGTTGCGGTTTGAGAGGGCCCTCGGGCGCCTTCTGCACCTGCTGCTGGAAGGCGGTGTCTCGATAGCGCATCTCTCGTTCCAGCTGGTTCTGCCAAGTGCACTCGAGTCGTCGCATACCGGATCACGCAGCAACCATCGTGGATGGAGAGCTTGGGCCGTGAAGCATTACAGGTTCCATCAGGTTTGCCCCCGCGTCCTTGGTTTCAAGCTGCTTGCCCTCCAGGCTGCTCACCTGTAGCGTGACGGTGCGCCGCAGACTGCCAGCTTCGGCGAGTGCCCCTACTGGGGTCCTGGCCGCAGCCCCCTGGCTGAGCCCTGCGCGTTCAGGCAAACCCCAGCTGCTATGCCCGCAGCTACGAGCACACGTGCCGCCAAGAGGCGCTGAGACTCTTGGTCCGACTTCAACGTCATCACCTGTTACCGTCATAGGGAAGGTGCATGTGTCCGGACGCGAGGGCCATAAGGGGCGGAAAGAGGTAAAGAAGGGATCAAACAGCCTGAGAGGGGTTCTCTGTGCCTCCGCCCTCAAGGCATTTAGGTCCTTGATGCAGTTGGCGGTCTGCTCCCGGACCAGCCTGGCACACGCAATAGCCTTCAAATCCTTCACCCCTCCCTGATGTGGCATGGAAGCAACATACATGTCTTCGGCCTCAGCTGGGTCTGGAAGATATCCGCATCCTGCTCAAGAAGCCGTCACAAGACTCGTCAGACTTAATTTCGGACAGCCAACGACAGCTGCGCCGGTCCTGCGAAGTCGGCGACATGGGCGTGTCCATCGCGGACCTGCCAACGATCCCCGTTACGCCGCGACCATCCCTGAACGACACAGCTGCGCAGCTGCACTTCCCGCTTCTCTCCACTGCCAGTGGGCCTGCCCTTCTGGGGCCCTGCCCCGCGCTGCCCAGATGCTAAGCACAGGAACGGGAAGAAGCTCCGAGCCCATACCCGGCTAGTTCGGACTCTAGTTCGATGAGTGGTCTTGGATCATGTATGGATGCACCAGCATGTATGAATCTTGACAGCGTACTACCGTACGGAGGGGATGTAACCACAACAACATTGTGGAGTCCTGCAGCAGCCAGGTGCCAGTGATCATCTACAATCGCCATCGAGGGCACTCTCCGGTAACTCGGGCTTGCCAGGTCCGGTCCCATCGCCCATCTCGATCTCCTGTCCTATCATCTTGGCAAAGTTCCGAATTGGAGTTTGATCTATTAGCATCGAACGTTTCAGAATTTCACGGCGGTCAGACTGGTCGTGCAGCGACATCCAGGTCGAGGCATGTGGTGGCCATACCGGCAAGTGCAGAGCAGCGTCAGCTAGACGCCGACAGTTAGCCGACATTGCGTCGGCAAGGACTGCGACTTTGTGCATTTATGCTCCGTCTTCAAGGCCCATCTCCATTTCAAGAGACTGAAAGCCTGCAAGAAAAAGCACGAACCGAGTTAACAAACGATAAACAGCGACGCGCAAGTCGGCAAACAGCAACGACTTGGCTCTCATGCGCAATGTCAATGCAAACCCCTTCTTTCCGCACTTGCACGTTTCGGTTGAATGGGAAGCTTCGAAGTTCCGATTTGAAAACAAGTGCCTCAGCAAAATAGGCTCGGGCATGTTCACATCCCTGCACAACGTACTTTCAGGACTTCAACTGCGCTTGCGCCTGTGTTGGAATACCCGGAGCATGCTCTACGGCATATATTGGCGTTGATGTTCGGGTTTTGATGAACTCGGGATATTGAGCGTCGTGTAGCCGAAGCAAGACAGGCACCGACAAACCTGCAGCTTGCGCCGGTCTTTTCCCAACGATGCACAGTTCGCTCGCACCGCGCCATGTTGTCGCAGAAGGCACGACCTGTTCGATTGACACCATGGCAAGACCAGGTCGGGGCGCAAGTAGTGGAAATAACTCCAATTGAGGCATGCAGGCTCGCCTCGAAGTTGCTCTTTGGCATCCTGGGGCGGGCTAGCATGTCGTGAGAGCCACTGGTTTTTTGATGAGGGTGGCGAATTCGTTTGGATTCCTTTTTTTCATGGGCAAAGCTGAGCCCCCCGACGATCGCTGTGCACGCAATCCGAAACACCCAAGAATAACTATAGACAATACCGCTGCCAATGTGAAAAAGTCTAGAAAAAGAGCACCGCATATTGACGCCAAAGCACTTGCCAAGCCTCCTTGGCTTTGCGGACGAGGCAATATGTCGAGCTCCAGCTGCACGCCTAGGGCCTGGCAATTGGCGATGATGCCATCAGGCCAGCATGCTACTGCACTTCAAAAACATCGAAGATAGCATGACAGCCTGAGGCTTCTCGATCTTCGGGCAGATCTTGGTTTAGGGTTTAGCGCTTTTTTGTTGAACCCTCGTGTCTTTAGGGTTTAGGAGTTTAGGGTTCAAGGCTTGAGGTAGGTATCTGAGTCAGGGTCCTTTTTACGAGGGTGGCGAATTCGTTTGGATTCATTGGGGACTCCAAGTTAGAGAAGCACCTACATTTTGCTGCGCAGTAAAAGCTCGAAAGAATAAATCGCTGGAGTTTTAGAGCTCTAGAGCTGTAAAGTTCAGGCTTTAGGGCCCTTCAAGGCTTCAGACTGAGTTTAGGAGTCTTAAACCCCACGTCAAGATTTGACATGTTCGTTAGAACGAACTTGCTCGACCTGTGCTACTCACATCACATCCCACCCGGGCCCACCCTACAGTACGACGAATGGGTCACCTGCGCAAAGCAATCAAATGGGCCCGACACATCGTTCAGCTAAAAGCTTCATGCCCGAAATGGAAGTCGCGCATTGCGACGACTATAGGATCGGAGAGGACTGCTGGCTCTGCTGCTTGGAGGCCGATTCGCCAGGAAGCTCGCTGCTAGGTCAAGAGATAGAAAAGAAGTAAGGTCCCTGGTGCTTTTTGCTACTTCCCAGCGCCTCTTCGCTCAGCATCACCGCATCGGTCCGGGTCGTGACCGGGCTCTCCCTCGGAGATGTGTCATGTGGTCATGGGGCTTCTTACAGGTCCTAAACATTCCTAAACAGCACCATGACTGCCTACGACACTGGTCGCACTTGCTTGGCTGCCTCGGACCAACAAACTTGGTAACCAGCTGGTTAACCCGGTGACGTGTTCCTCCTGTTCCTTCTGTTGTTACTCGCTAGATCTGGTCGCCCCACACTTGCACCGTCCGACAAGTCACATCATCTGCGTGGCATCCTCGCAGCAGGTTGCACAGAGTGCAAATCACGACTCGTGCACCGCCCTGCGTATGTAAGAACTGGCACTTGCCATGCCCGCTCCCTTTTTTGCTGAAGTTTTTGTTGAACGTTTGGCTGTGTGAGACAGAATTCAGCAGAAGTGGAGCTTCCAAATCTCCGTCCGCAAATCCGCGTTGGCATGCATTGAGAAAGCCTAGGTTCAACAAGAAGCTGCATGATGAGGTTTTCTGTGCGTGCTCATGCCAATCCTTGTCGTGTGAATTGGGCCCACTTGTAAAGCCCTGGATGGCTCGTGGCATGTGTGCTAAACAGAGTGAGTTACCGCTACCCGAACGCATAGCCTTCATGCGGAAAGTATCGGTGCAAACACGTGTGAGACCTGACCAGGTCGCTTCTTGAGTCATGGAGTGAACATGTGCCGGCTGCAGCAAACAACATAACACACTCCATGGCCATGGAGGTGAAGCGGTTGTGCGATGGCCTGTTTGTTGAAGTCCTTGACAAAAACACGTCAGAGATTGTGTTGCATGTGTCCGCGCATGTAATTTCTGCAAGCCAGTGGTCTCTTTCAACGTCAACCCTCAGATGTGAACATGATTGGTTCATCGTACAAGATCACAGACCCGACCCTGCTCAAAAGCACACCGGAATCCGTTGTGAAGGTGCTTGACATTGTGGACGACCTTATGCATTTCCAAGGTTTCTCCGTGCATCGCAATGAGCTTCGAGACAGTCTAGTACCCGTTCCGAGACCAAATTTCCGGTACGATATTGATCCCACGTGTTGGCTCCACCTCCATCAACTGGTGATGAGCGGTTTGCGGGATGAGCTGCAACCCACTGAACTGAATAAACGTTTCAGTCACCTCTGGCACGCAACTTTGGCGTGACGCGAACCATCGTGGGGGGAAAAAGCGGTACCCAAGCACAAAAGCTTGTTGACTGCCCGCCCTCTCGGAAACCAATCCTGCGATCATCTGGGCCTGCTTTGTCGACTCCTTGCACGTTTCATTGATCTCTGCCTACAGAGCTTGCCAGACGAGCTACACTGTGATAGACCGACACACTCGTCGGTGGCTGCATTGACAAAGCTTCGTGAGCAACCCCTTCAAACAGCTGCGTGTGCGTGTGACATGGCCAGTCTACAAAACTACGGCCTGTATGTGCTTACGTGAGGCTTGGGCCAAAAAGCATGCAGAAGAGTTCTTTCAATTCGTGTATCCTCCGCATCTGCTCTTGAAAAGATGATGCCGTGAACCCTTTCGTGGGTTTGCGCTTACAAATCATTCACGGCGAATTGCACTGGTGCGCCCACCACAAGCCCATCAGTGATTCGGTAGCCTATGGTATAATGCCCTGGTGCCCGTTTTCGCCCCCGGCAACCTTTGATGCAGTCCTCTTGGGTGGCTTCTCCAGATGCAAACAGCTGTCCAACAATGTTGGGGGCATCGCACATTCTTTGCGACAGTTCCGAGACACCATGGTTGCCCAAGCCGGGTACCCCAAGGAGCATGTTCATCGAAAGCGCAAAGCTTGGACTACAGCCGAGTTCCACGATTTGCGCATCTTTCATGCTTGCCTCAGAAACTCTGCGCAAACATTGAAGCCCAACTGCCGCTCCTTTGCAGAAGTGGGACAGATGTGGCCGATTGGTCGAACACACCTTCCGTCCTTCTAGGATCTTGACGCGAGTGCAACGAGACTCATGCAGATAAGCACACACGCTCGGAAAATGATGCCTCGTTGCATTTGCATTTGCTACAGCCTGCTTCAGAGTCTGTTGTCCCAGTACGTTCGATGCATTGTGATGTCTCCTTTCATGCCTCAGGGTTTGTCTTCCATGCCCCTGTGCCCTTTCCCCCCCCCCTCCGTTTTTCTTGGTTGTTTTCTTTCACGGTTCTGTATCTGTTCTTTGCCCACTGCTTACCTTCCAAGGTTTGACCCTGACATGACAACATGCTGCTGACGTATGAAATCGACGCGACGGTTTAGCTCGAACTCAGTTTGCGGAAGTCTAGAAAGGCTAAGGTTTCTAATGCACGAGTTCAATGCATCGGGTTGGCGCCTCAGGGACAGACTCCTCGCAGCACTCATCATCCTTTCATTCTCTGATGGGTGGACTTCGCCCTCCAGTGACGTCTGAGTCCGGGTGGACATCACACGTACAGACTGAGAAGTACAAAATGAGGAGGCGTGTGATGTGTCCTGGGGTCTTCGTGCTTCACTCTCGACCCCGTTTCATCTGAGATCCCCGGCCCACGGGCAAACCCCCCCCCCCACATCAGATCCCCGGCCCACGGGCATACAACTTTTGCATACATGAGTATGTACCATGTCCGAGTGATCAGATCTGTGTTGTTCAACGTGCACAATGTGCTGCATGAGCCAGCTGCGGCCGTCAGGCATCTCTGCTGGTCACAATATTTTGGCCAATGCTCCAGCGTGGCCTGGGCTGGGCAGCCACTGCATGCAGATGGCATGGCATGTCATTAGATTCCGCCATTCGGCATTGTCTTGGCAACCCGCCACGTGCTTTTGAAGCCACCCTACCAATCCGGCTTCCACCCCCCCCAAGACCCTTGGCAACATGGACATGATCACCTGGATGCTCCGTCCCATATGGTGCCACGTGTTACAGTACAAATAGGGAACACGGACGTTATCATCCGGCCGGCATGGATTCCCCAGTTGCTTGCATCAGTGCGGACACACTTCTGTCCTTTCCAGCCGAGCCGGCGGCTTCAGGGCTGCTTAAACGTTTTTTGCGACGACATGCGAAAAGCTGAAACTGGGGCTGCTGGCCGGCCACTCGAAGATCTCCTGGGTGAGATCCTGCGTTACGAGACAGCGCAGGACAGAGCCTCCTGTATCGTTGATTAGGATATCTGTCAGGAGTTCTCGAGACCCGCCAGTGGGATGTAGCATCTTAGAAGGTTAAGGTCCTCACGGCTGCCTGTTAACATGAAGTCGCTCTTCAAAAGGTTCTGGAAGGAGGCACATGATGCGAAACCCTCGAGGAGCTCCACCCTCAACCAATGGCTATCTGACTGCCTTTGAACGGTACAGTAGGTAGACCGGACCCGAGCCTTTTCCAATGACAGATCCGTAACCTCAATGCAACATGAAGCCGAACCATGCAAACCCCAATGCGAGAAGCTCCAGAAGGGTCCGTGGCGTTATCTTCCGATGCGGAGCAGCAGCACTCACAAACCCCTCAACAACACTACGAGTTCCATTGGATCGAGGCACTCGACCTGTGCTACTCACAGGAACACTGGCGGAAAAACTGATTTGGATGAGCATGTTCACGGCTTCCCTTGGCTGTACCGACTATCCACATGTAAGGATCCCAACTCAACACCGAATGATGTCCGAGAGCGTCGCGCCCATCTCATCATCCTCGCAGATGCCCTAGCCTCGCAGTTGGGCTTTGGGGTCAAAGAGGGTTTGGGGTTTGGCGTGCTGGTGAAGCGGCAGGCTTGCAAGTTGAGGACGTTTCGAGTCCGAGTTTTTGTAGGTGGGCCGCAGGGGCAAGAAGAAGAGAAATAAGAGTTGATGCCAGTTGATACCAGCGTGCATGCATCCAACCTTCACCTGCGACCCGTGAAATTGGCTTTGCGAACTCGGTCAGCGGACACTGAGACACGACTGAAACCGCGTGTGCAGTTTGGATGTTTTGCGGTATCCAGGATCCTGTAGGAAGGACATGTTGGAGAAGTCGGAGAGCTTCAAGGGTTTGGGGGAGGGTGCTTCGAGTGGGAAGTTTCGCCGCACAGGCTTTCCTCAACCGAGCTTGGGTTCGCAGGCAAGGTGAAAGCAGCGATTGCGTTGCCGAGCGGTGCCACGGATTCAACGAGTTTCCGGCAACCCGCAGGCAGAAACTCCAAGTGCAAACTTCTAACCGAACTGGGTGCTGTGCTGGCGGCACACTCGGCCTCGATCTGGAACTCCTTCCCAGTACACAACAAAACGGCTCAAGAGTTCCAACAACGATTCTTGGGATATCGGTGCCGGCACACAATGCGGCCGAAACGGCAAAAAAAACAACTCTAGTCACTAGTCTATGTCAAACGGGCGCCACACGATCGAGGGGGTGCTTTGGAATGCGATATATCTCGTCTACTCGTTTTGTTCCAGGACCGTGCAATACGGTTTTTGGCCCTAACGGTTCCAGTGTCAGAGCCTCCATTCCAGTAAATCTTACAATCGTATTGCACTTTGGTGACTTTCCAGTGGATCCGGGCGGGGGTCCAGACCTTCTGTAGGTTTGGAGACATGTTGACTTGACGTGATTATCGTGGCAAGGGCTCAAGATCACAAGTCTCACTCACTTTAATCCCTTTAAGCGTGAAGCCCTGCAGGAAGAGTGCTGAATTGGAAAAAAAAGCTCCGGCCCTTCTGCAACAACAGGAAGAAAATGAAATGTGATGCCCATGCGTGCCCCTACTTGCTTGTGAAAGTGCAGTTGGCTTCGAAGCCCTAGGTTGTGCGTGGACAAGTAGCTACAAGCTAGTAGAAGAATAAAAATACCTTTTGCGGGCCAGCCGAGTACTGCAACACGTCCTCTTGACGCTCTTCCAGCAGAAATGCAACACATGATGTTGACTTGCTGTTCATGCATCTCTGTGAAACACCTCAAACGGTGTTTTGGTGTTGTAAATTGTAGAGTACACAGTACAACGAAGGCCGCACGACATAACACTGTCAGACAAACACGCGACTCTGCACCCACCACAAGCCTCTACAACCGAACCTCTCGAAATTCGAAAACATGATTCTAAACAGTCCAAACCCCAGACCTGTTCAAGCCAAAGGCCACCTGTCTGCGCACCGGCACCCCACGCGCGGCTTTGCCAGCGCGTCATCGCCCGAGGCCATCCGCCCTGCGTTTAGGTCCGGCACATGTGCTGCGACAGACGTGCACAGAGCATTGGGATGTGTATCGGAGCGTGCACGGTTTTGCAACGCCCGGTTAATACTTTGTACTGTGACAGACCACCTGGCCTCGTCATTGCCGGTGACGTTGTCAGCAACGGCCGGCAAACAGCTCTTTGTGTTGTGAGCTGGGCATTTGCCTAGCGACAATTTGACCTCTCAACTTGATGTCTTGTCATGCCTTTGTTCTGATGTGAGAACTCTGTCTCAACTCCAGGTTTGCTTTCGAGGATAGCTGTCTAGAAGCCTATTGTTCGTTGCTTTGCCATCCTAACTCCTTTCTCGAACCTCGCTTGTCAGGCCGTACTTCAGATAATTCAGAAGTAGACGAGAGTGAGCTGAAAGTCAACGCGAAGGTCCTTGCTGGCAATCAGAACCGCAAACATGCTTTACATTATGACTGCAAATCTAAGCAGCCTAGACAGAAGCATGTCTCATGTCGTGGTCAACCACCTGCATTGCGGAATACAACCTCTTTGAGCATAATCTTTTCTGCAAGGACAGCGCAGGTCTGCAGCTGGGGCAAACTAGCGCCAGGCCCCCTTCGCATGACGTGGGCGCCAGCGCATCTGGCATCAGGACAACATGACGCTGCGGGAACACAGCAGTGGGTGAGTGGAAAGCTGTCTCCGGGCACCCACTTAATCAAGCTGGGTGCACGTCTCTCTCCGCATCTCGGTGCCAGCTTGGCTCGCCCGTCCTCAGACATCCACAGAACGTGATGCTTCCGCTGGAGCTGCCGTAGCTGCGAATCTAATCCCAGCTGCAGGCCCTGACGAGCCGAGGCCACTGCCAGACACCCATCTCCCGCAGCCTGTCCAAGCGCCTCTCCTGGCCACGCAAAGCAGACCAAAAAAAACTCTCAATCCGAAGAGGAACTCGCCTACTCGCAACCGCGACTCTCACACTAGGCCGCTCTCCCCGCTTGCACCCTTTACCCGTCAACTTCATATGCCCATGCATTTGTGTTCGTCGTACACTTCGTTGTCTATTCACCGTTGCAGCCCATGCAGATTACTCATGTGCACCATCTTGAATCTTCATGTATTCAGGAGCTCACGTGTGCATCTTTACGTGGCTTGCTGATTTGATCACTCGTTGAGGAGTTGTTCGTGCTCTCAGTAATGATGTACCTATGCACCCATGCATGTAGGCCACGCAGGCAGGCACAAAAAGACTCATGAGTGAAGCTGTTCCGGCACTCGCCCTGCTTCGTTCCTTGCATCCCTTCAGCCCTTCTTACACTTGGACCTTGAGCAGCAGCAGAAGATAAAGACAAAAATGAACAAACCTCAAAGCCAGTAAATACTTTCGCGGCCTCGTCCTCTCGTCGGAGCATCAACTCCAGCTTGCGGGCGCGCTTGACCCTGGGTCGGCGGTGGTTGTTTTTCCGGACGACAGCCTGTACATGGTGCACCTGCAATAGCATCAGCAGCACTGACACTAGCAGCTACAGTAACCGTAACAGAAACAGAAACAGCACCAGTGACAGCACAAGTCATAGTAATGGCAATGGCAATAGGAACGCCAATAGCCATAGCAATAGTCGCTTTCGTCGTCGTCGTCGTTACTGCCGCTGTCGGCCGTCATCATGGCTGGCATCATCGTCCTCTTCGCTGTGGTGGCAGCAGGAGGAGGACAAGGAGGAGCAGCACCACAAGCAGCAGCGTAGTGCGAGTAGAGAGGGATCAGAAGACCAGCAGAAGCAATGGCAAAGGCATACAGGCATCCCGGGCCGACGGCATCTCCTTTCGCTTCACCTCGCCCTTGTTGTAGATCCACTTTGGCGTATCTCAGAATAGGCTTAGGGTAGATGCACAAGCTGGGTTTCAAGGCGAGCCTTCTCCTGTGAACATGCTTGCTTCGCCCTAAAATCTTGCCCCATCGAGCACCTGCGTACTTATCCCCGTAGATCTCGCGGGTGAAGGGATGGTCCTTCATCCTGGGCAGCTGTGTAAACGATCAAGGACTGCCGAGCCAGCTGTCAGGACCAAGCCAAGCAGGAGTCTACGACTGGAAGCAAGGACACTGCGACGTGTGCAGTGCTCCCCACCTGCCCTGTGGAAGTCACGAGAAAAAACGAGAGCGGATAATTGAAGCCACACACCCGAGCCCAGGGCATGACGATGAACTTGAGGTGGCCGTTAGGGTAGCGGCCTCGGAAGAGTTGATTTGTTGACCTCTACAATCCTAGATGGAGTAGGGCGGTTCAGGGTGCGTGCTTCGGATTGGAGTGTTTCGTGTCGCTGCCGTTGCGACATGCACGCAAAGCGTCGGCAGCATGACGCACTCTGCCCTGATCCCGATCCCTGTAACATGCGTGGGGCCCGGCACATGCCCATCTTCCTGGCCGTCTCAGACGAGCTTAACAAGCTGCAAGCTCGTTGCCCACTGCAAGGGGTCGCATCGCTTCTGGTCTGAGTTGTTGTGAGCGGGTCAGCTTCGCAAGATTCAGTCTTGCACGTACATGCATGCGAACAGCTCTCCTTCATGTCCCGGTTCTCCTAAACACACGCAGACACACACACACACACACACACAGACAACAATCCCAGACCAGGAATGCATTGGAATGTCACAGCCGAAAGCCTTCGCCACTTCCGGATCTTCCTCGGCGCAGTCAGAAACCAGGAAGCTGTCTGCGCACGGCTCGGTAGGGGGTCCAGGGGGCTGTAGGAGGCCGGGCCCCTTTCGAAGCTCATCGAAGCTCTCAACAGGCGGAGGTGGGCCGAGGCTCTTGAAGTACTCGAACATGAGCTTCGGCTTCCTCCTGGAAGCAAAGAAAGTGCTCCCCTTTCGACACATACCAGTTTTTCTGGCTGACTCCGGCAGCAAACATGAGAACACTCTGACTGGCTGCTTCATCTCGGGCCGGCCTCTCCACCTCGCTCTGTGGCATCTTGAAATACTTGCTCCACCTCGGTGCCGTCACCGCCAACTCCCCCCGACCACAGGCGAGCTCCACTCTGCAGCCGCAACAGCAGCAGCGAGGAATTCTGACGCGAACGATGTTTGTTTGCCAACGCAGATATCCGCAGCAAGCCGGATGGATGAGAAGAGTCCGCAGGAGCCGAGGCCTTGACTCGCCCGTCTCGCCGGTCTTGGCTATTTCCTGCAACGGAAACTCGAATCGTTGATCAGTCGCGATCATCGCGATCAGCACAGGAGGAACAGATAGGAGCAGCTTCCATCCCTAGACAAGGGCGCCTAAGACAACCTTCCGAGAGCCGCACATACATCCCGTCGGAGAAGACTTTGTACTTGGTTTTGTTGTACCAAGAGATGCTGAACCTTGGCATGTTACTACAGCACAGCGTGTGAGTGCAGGAACCTTCTCACTCAATAAAGATAGATATAAGCATCTGGCTGCTTGCTGGAGCCATCAAAGACTGATTCGGGCTCTGCATCTGTAGACCTGAGAGCCACGCCAAAGTTCCGCAGAGGCAAAGATCACAACAGCCGTCACAGCAATTGATAGCAATTGAGCTTCCTCAGAAATCGACAGCTCCTCTTCATCCTCTTCATCCTCCACATCCACGTCCACTACCTGGCGACTGACGGGCTGATTTTACCCGCAGCCTGGCCACAGCAGGCAATGTTGGCTCGCAAGTCACCGCAACGACTGCGGCAAGCCCTAAGCAACACAACCTTTCAGACTCTGCGCCTCTGCATCTTCTGCCTTGGCGCTGCACTGCGGTTTGTAAACAGTCAGAGCTCGCCCCTAGTGCACTCGAAAAATCTCGAAAGCCATGCTTCCGTGCAGATCGCTGTCAGTATGCATGCGATTGACCCAAACACGCGCGAACTCTCCGCACACTCCAACTTCTTGCAAGCCTGACACAACAAACCCTGCAAGCAAGTTGAACCGAAGCTCACGGAGACGCCCGTCAGGAACTACTCCAAAAATCACCAAAGCCCCAGCGCATCCCGCACTGGGAAGTCCCAATGAAATCCGGCCAAGCACTGTCAAGAAGGGCTCATGCAAGAACCAGAACCCCCCGGTGCCTCTGCTCGGAGGACTCGTCCCCGGGCCTCTGCACTTGTGTGCGCTTATTCTTCCTCTTGTGGCTCCGTCAGCATCCCATCAGCCGACCCAAAATCGATTCAATGCTTACCTGCTCGAGCGAGAAGAGCTGAGGCCTTCGCTGGGGAGAGCGCAGGGCGGCCACCCGCAAAGGCAAAGCCTCGGAGCGAGGTATCCGGCAAATATC